ATGATAAACATGCCGACGCAACGTGACAACTGCTTCTCTCTTTTTCTCGCGCCCTGAAGGTCTGGGGTGGTCGCACCAAATGGTTCGAAGAGCAAGCTTTGATAAGACAGCTGTGTGAATCTGTCTTTTGGTTCGAATCTCACGGTTGTGAGTTGTCGATACAAAGGTGCTCAGTTGGTGCCCCCAGTTCAGGAGGAGCAGCTTTGCATGGAGAGTGAAGCAATTGGATCACAATTTCCGTAAAGTCATTGGAAGCATCTAAAAGCTTTCCGTCCACAAGGTTGTATCTGAGAAGAGCTTCAGCAAGTTTGCCTCTTGAAGGCAGATCTGCTGGATTGGAAAAAGAACAAACCCTCTCAGTCCAGGAAGCAGTAGGCCATCGTATTTCGATGTCCGCCATGATGCGTCCCAAACTCCTCATGGTAGTAGAAGGGCTATTAGCTTTTATGGTGGTCATGCGAGCCGCTTCATTGTCGATCCATTCAATGGCTCTACGGTTATGCAGTTGTTTTCTCAAGCACCATCTGACTGAGAGCAATGCCCACAACTCAACTTGTGAAATTATCTGATCGCCAGCAAACCGAGTCCAGTGGTCAATCAGATCCTTTGGTACAGCGACTTCATATGCAACCCGTCTATGACCATCAATCACCACAGCTCCTGCTGTTGCAATTCCGTTCTCATAAGCTCCATCTGTGAAGATCAAGACAGGCTGGCAAGGCGCTGACAAAGAGTGTACTCTAGGTTTTGGACTGAGAAGCATTGATTTGGCATAGGCACACAAGCACCTAAGCTCGTCCGATTTCGCTTTCCGCTGACCATCTGCAAATTGCATGAACGCAGAAACCAAGTGCTTCAAACCTTTGCCCATGTAAAAACTTACAGCAAAATTAAGAAGTCCCTGGATTTCGCTTGCCCTGGCTGCTGTGAGGGTGCCAGCGGTTTCTATGTCTTCAAACATCTTGCACAGCTTTTCAACTCTGCTGTCTTTGTTGGATATCACGAAGTTGCCCTGCGATACTTGGTTGAGGTTAAAAGTGATGCCCAGCAGATCAAAAACTTCTGAAAAGTCAAGCGCCTTGTCACCCTCCTTTGCATGTTCCCAGCCGAGTAAGTCTAAAGTAGCACTAAATGCCAATGTCAGCACTCTGCAACCCTCCGATCTCTCCAGTGTTGGAAAGTCATCGAAGTAATGCGATGTGATGCAGTGAAGGAGCTTGCCAGTGATGAACCATAACGCCTGCGACATCCTAACAAAGCCATAAACACTTCCAGTGCAGCCAAAGGGGAGTGAGATGCTCTTATAAAAGCGCCAAACACCCTTCACTGGGAAGCCAACTACTGCGTGTCGCTGATGTTCAGGTAGCACTGCAAGTTGTTTATAGGCCTTGCTCAAGTCAAATGTTTTCCCAAGCCACTTAAGGCTTGGGCCAAGCCTGTCTGCCGATTCTCGCATGACTTCCACAACCATGGCTGCAGCATAGTCGACATCTTGCAACTGGAGTTTGTGACCGACCCTTGTTTGGCATCATCTATTACTCTGACTTTGTTGTTGGCTCCTTGAAACAGCACAAATCTGGGGTTGAGCGACCAGTCTTCCGATCCCATTAACACCGACATTTCAGCCTCGTTGTATGGTCCTTGCAGAAAACCTCGTTCCACTTCGTTTGCTGTTGCTTCCAGCAAGGCCGTCTCTTCAGTTGTTGTAAGCTGTCGAGCGCCCTGCATTATGCTTTGCCTCCTCCACATGGCCGTCTGTAGCAGCTCATCTTCTGTCATGCTTGCAGGCACCAGCAGCTTCTGGTACCCTTCCGGAGGAGGCTGTAGTCCAACTAGTGGGACCCCATGTTTCAGCAAGTTTACCACTTCCATATCCCAAAACTCAAAGTGCTTGAGGAGCTGTTCAAACAAGAGAATGTTCTTGGTCTTGACGCAACGGCTTACGTCTGGATGCATGCTTGATTTGAGTTCGACCTCCTTTTGGCACAAATCCGATGACATTTTGCGCATTTTGAAGACTGCTGCAAGCCTCTCCTTGGCAAGCTTTGTCGGGCATGTGTGAACCACCTTGTGGATGGCCTCTTTGGTGAGTGGGTGCAACATCAAGTCATGGTCCATGGGATGTCTGACTTCAGACGCCTTTTGCAGAAACTCTTCCGGAGTATGCCAAACACCATATTTGAAAGTTGTTCTTGACCTCTTGCTTGGCGCTTCTTCGCTGCTTTGCTGCTGCTCAGTGGATTCTGCCCCTTTTAGAGGAGGAGCAGCTAGCAATTTGTAAGCTTCATTGGACTCAGGTACGTCAGAAAAGACGTAGGTTTTGTACTCTGGCACAAGCGGTGGGTGTGACAAAGTCTGTTGACCCATGTTGAACTTCAGCAAGTTTTTCAACCTAGCCGGCACTTTAGGTGTAATATTCATGGTTTGAGCCATTTGTAAAACGCAAGCTGCCATTCTACGACAAAGTAAGGCTGGGTATTCCGCCTCTGCTGCTGTGGGAAACACAATACCCTGCTCCGTTTGGTATGGTTGCCATGATGAATGAGTGTGGTTTTGAGGACAGCTCGCTTCCAAAGATGTAAACAAACCTGGAGTACCGAGCAACTTTGTGCGTTTGTCTCTGGTGCTTCCATGTGCACAAGCATCAAAGTACACAGCTTCGAGGTCAGCAAACCAAGCAATGAAATCGGTGTCATTGGTGGCGTTTACCAACATTGCAAGGAGAGCCCACAGCCATGACCTCGCGGGATTTTCAATTGATATCATGCATCCCAGTTCCATGCAAACTTTGAGCAATTGAATGGCACATTTGTAAAGTTTGTTTGCAAGTTCAACTTTGGTTTGGTCACTGTCTCTCAAGCCCGGCAACCCAAGGAGATGTTCGGCATCACGGAGTGGTGGTGGACCCATGTGTCCCCCAAATTTTGCTGGCATCGGTTTCTCACGTGCTCTGGAACAAGTTCCGCATGGTAAACCCATGTGGATGTGACACGGCTTGCAGTGACGCATCATTTTTTCCAACAGCGCCACATGTTTTGAATTCGAAACATCCAAAGTGAAAACTTTGACCTTAGGTGCATGTCGATTTGCCGCATGGTCGATGGGGTAGACTTGGAAGCCAAGACGCCTTAATGCGTCAGACAATCCTGCTGAGCCACAACAAATCTCAAATGTTGTAGCTTCCAAAATGAAACTGTCATCCATCTGTTTCAAGCAAAGTCAGTGGGGGCATTCATTGCCCGGATGCAGCTTATGGCATGCCTTCTTCCAACACATGTGATAACTAACCATGCAGCGTTTGCCCGGCTTTACTTTTGCAGTGCAACGTCCAATCTGCCATCGTTTGCAAAGTTGCTTGCCATCAACGAAGATTTCACAATCATCCGGCACTGCAATGCCAGGGGCTGTCTTGCCTTTGCCTTTGCCTTTTGAAGACTTCCCTTTGCCTTCTGCATTGTATGAGCCTTTCCCTTTCCCAGTTGCAGAGAAGGAGTGCGTGTGCTCCGACTTGGACATTCCATGACTCTGCAACGGTATCAAGTGCTGAAGGACTTCGGGATGATCAGCAAATTTTGTAAAGGCAACGTCAAATGGTTTATCTGCTCCAGCCTTTGGATGCAACTTGCCTCGCGTCTCATTGGAGACCTTCACCCAAAGCGCCTTGTCGGCGTTGATTGCCTGTTCAACGCTGATGTGCCTATAATTGGCAATGGGCGCCTCATTCATTTTTTCAAAAAGTTTCTGTGTCCATAGGTCCAAAACTGAAAAGGTTCCAATACCAGCCAAGTCATATGCTAGTGATCTCCGCAGGAAGGCTTGTCTCAACTTGTGCTCACCTGTCACATTCACATCATCAAGCCGTTATTTCTTACTGAGTCGCAGGCCACCAGCGTTGTCCAAAGCCAATGATGTGTCAACCTTTGAGTGCAAAGCCTCGTCATGACGTGATGAGCACCTGTTCAATTCAACGTATGTCACAACATTGTCCTCCAACTGCTGGCAAACACGGTCAATCAAGGAATGCGAGGGTTCACTTTGAGGAGTGAAGCTCAAACCTACAAGCCGTTCTTTCTGTTGTCTGATGCGGTCCATCTTTTCAGCCAAAGGAAGTATTCTGGCCTCACTGGACTCAACCCTGTCTGCACGTGACTTCAAATCTTCCAATGACAAAGCATGAGCTTCAAAGAAAAGCCTACGAAATCTGGTTGCGGCAGCAGCATTTGGAACGGCACCCAAGGCTGTTCCCAAGAAGTTAGTCAATGCAGTGTCATCAGTTTGACCAGGTTGAAACGTGCAGCAGTATGCATAAGTAGCATAATTGTTTATGCCTTTCTCTGCCAGTGCCTCGATGTCATCCTGCTCGATTCCAAGTTCAGCTGCCCTGTTCTGAAACGCGATTCTTGAGTCAATAGCCATTAGTTGCTGAACGACGCATAAAGAAAAATCAAGTTGAAACTATTGCGAGATTAATTTCAATATGTAAGTCAAGAAGTTACAATTGCTGTCCAACAGTTTCTGTGAACATAGCAACGCTTTAATGCAAAACTTATTTGTCTGTGAACCTGCGCAAACGTGATGTGTTCTGTTTGGAGCACGTTGGTGCTGAGCCAATGCAATGCCCCACATGAAAGAAGTCTGAGTTGAGATGTCAGGCAATGATACCTCTGCCGCATGATGACATGCTAGGCATTGGGCAGTCATGCGAACCTAATCTCATGACTCCCATGTGACGCATGCAAAGTGTGCCCATGATGGCTCCAAAAGAAATCACAAAAATTTCAAGCACATGGGTTCCAGTGACAAAAGTTTTGTGCGATCAGCCATTAAACACAACTGTGAAATTGCCGCTCACTTGCTCACTTTTATACCTCCAATCGGACGTGGTACAGATAAGCCAACTTCGCGGAGAGTAAGGCTCAAGAAACTGCAGCCCCATGTACTTTGTCGGGGTATTCGAAAGCGAGCCAGTGGTTTCTGTAACTCACACTCCAGCATGGCCATCATGACTGATTATCTGAAGCCTTGTAAGCATGAGAACAGTTGGCACAGATCACTGCTTCCGTTGCATTGAGGTCATCCATGGTTGCATTCCTGAACGAAGTCGTGGGATGCCTTCCACACCAAAACTTTCCGTCTTCGCAAACCAGCATATGGATTACCCTTGAATTGCTGTTGATAAGGCACAAACTCAGCTCCACTTCGTCAGTCTCCAGTCGTTGGTACGCTGGTCTCTGCGCCACAACGTTGTGCCCACCCTCTGAGGAAGCCACCGATGAAGCATCAGACGTAGAGCTCGAATCGCTGGAGCTCTCATCACCATTGCTTTCCAACATTGTCGCATATGCCAGCTGAAACAAGCGACTGACTCGAGTTGCATCAGGGTCAAAAGTGCCATCTCTGATCTTGGTGAACATGTCATGCAACTTTTTACAAAGGCTGATCTGGTTGTCCCTCGAGTAGATCATGGCCGAACGATACTGTGCACTTACATGGTGTCCCAAAGCCAGTTGTTCGTCTGCTGAAAACAATGTGCTCTTGGCTGCCCAGCTGAGAATTGTGGCCTTGAGGCCGTGAACTGTAAGCAGCCTAGCCCGCGTAGAACCTGTAAGAGGCTCCAAAAGTTCTCTCAACCAACCTGTAGCTTCAGCAGTCGACATCCTAGAATCAACCCAGCAATGAGCACTTTCTGACCATGAGTTCAAGAAATTGCTCCAGCCACTTGCATCGCATCGCTGTCGTGCATCCATCCAGCTTTGTCCCCAGTTGCCTTCATCAGTCACTTTTCCCAGGGCAGTGAAAGGCAGTAATTCCATCTGCTGTTCTTTGCCTCGAGACGATTTATGTTTCGATGTCAGGGCCTCCAGGAGGACTATGCTGCCAGCAGTCGACAAGTCCAGTGACACCACAAACATTGAATCATGCCATCGTGCTGCAGCAGTAAAACTGAAAAGTAAGTGCCCAGCGATTACCCTTCGATGAAGCTCTGCGTCATTCAAACAAATGTCTTCCAAGGCTGAAACTTCGGCAACAGTCAAAACTTCGGCAGGTCTCCTCACTCTCTTAGTCATGTATGTGGCATGAGCAGCTCCGACAACTCGAGCACTCAGCATGTCTGACAAACGCACCTGTGTGAAGCCCAGCAAAGCGTCAGAAAACCTCATAGCCTCCAGGAATTGAGAGGGTGTTGTTGGACCTGCTTGAGACTGCCGCAAATGACAAACGTATTGATACAGCATCTTCTCTTCTTGGCAAAATGGTGATCCAAGGCCCTGCGTTTGCAGCCAACCAGAAAATCTCCAAAGTGCGTTGCATCTCTTAAGAATGGTTCCAGTTGCTTTTGGTGCAAAAACATCCATGAAAATCTGTGACAACTCATCATCAGGACATAATGTACCAGCAAAACTGCGCAGTGATTGCCCAAGCCTTGTGCTATCTAGGTTCAACAAAACCATAGTCTTAAACCTTGACAAAGCCAGGTGGCGGTAATCGTCCTGCGAAGAGACAAGTCTTGAAGCCCTGATGCGTTGCACTGTCAACTCAGTCTGCCGTATAGGTTTTGGCATGGCACTATCTTCCGACAACGATGCAATGTGGTCTGAGAGTCCAACCAACGGCATCTTGTTCTGTCGCTGCAAGCGTTCCCAAAAAGGTTTCTGTTTTGAAAATAAGGTCGACAAAGGTCCCGTCTGCCATGGTTGCTTGACATCTGCAATAAGCCTATGGATCTGAGTCGAAGCCATTTCATCTGCAGTGCGTTTCACAGCAATGCCAACTGAGGTCGAGACAGGAGGCTTTTCTGCCGCCATCTTTGGTTTGGGTTGCATGAGAAGTTGTCCAGTTCTAACAGGTTCTACTGGCTGATCATCCATAGCTGTTGCAATGTCATCAAAATCATCGTCATGAGGCAAACTAAATATATCACTTGCAGCTGACTGTTCGACATGTTCCCAGTCCACACCAGGATCTGAAAAAGAAGGATCAACATCGTTTGAGTCTGTGTTGGTGACGTTTGCAGATTCAAAGGGTTGCCAACGTCCTCTAAAACCTCTGTGTTCAACAACCATTACTTAATCCTAACTGTGCTGAAAACAACGGTGGGCAGTGTGGTCACCTTCCAGCTCACACCACTTGTGGCAACCCGCACTTCCACAGCCGTTCCAGCAAGGGTTTGGCGTTTGACTTTCACCACGATGCAAGCCAACCTCTGTGTCCTGAGATCCCTGCGCTGTGCTGTTGGGCGATAGGACCAAGGGCACTTCAAGGCGTTTGGCAAGTTCTCTGAAAATCAACAGGAGCAATGAAATGATGCTGTAGTTAGACAGTTCCGAAATCTGCTTTGCATCCATTAGCCCCCGTACGCCGAAAAGAAATGGTTGGTTGAAGAAAGGTTTTTTAAACCCTTCCCTACCTCACCCTTGATATGAAAAATGCCACACGAATAAAAATTCAGATGTGAAACCAAGGGAGAAAGATGTTTAAGGTTTGGTTTGTTTGTTTGAAGTTGAGGGAAATCTTCAGAAAACAAATCAAACATCAGAGACCCCAAACATAACAGATAACGTTTTGACCTGAGTTGCAAAAATTGTGTTGATGCATTTTTGCAATGTTCTTTTAAAGATTGCGCTCTCACTTCGTGACAGCACTCATCCACCTGTCACTGGGGTGCCGCGACACAAACTGCTCCACATCAAACAAACTTGGGAGCTCAATCTTCTCCCGGATGCGAGATAGCTGATTGGCGCAACTGATGCTGCTGTCACCCACTAACCTTGGCTCCGAGCCAGCTTTCTTGACTAAGCCCAACTTGCCGGCCGCACAATTGGCCCCAAAGAGGCGCCGGGCCTCCTCCACACCGCCAGGAATCCAGTCAGCAAACCCGGCTTCCACATCTGCTTGCACTAGTCGCATTACGCAGTCTGGATCTTCCAACGCTGAGCCCCAGGGCTCATCTAAGATCTCCAGTTCCACGCCTTCAGGGCGCACAGGTTTGTCTACTGCACGCCACACCCCTGAAGGTAAAACATCTTCCAAAATGCCTGTGGGCACGCCCTCACGTAAAATGCCAGGCAATTTCACATCGATGTCGTCGCAGAACAGCAAAAGCGCACGCCACAGGTCCAAAGTTAGTGGCTGACCCGGCGGCACCTCTACCTTGCAAGGGAATTCGAAGCCTTTGCTCATCAGAAAGTCCGCTAAGCGTTGCCCCACACACTGAACTTCATCTTCATACAGCAAAGGCTCCCGGCTAGCCTGCGCTACATGGGAGCGCAGGCGTGGTAGTAGCTGCCACTCACACACCAACTCCAAAAATTGGCTCCGCAGTTCCGCAAGCAAATCTCCACCCTTGGGAAGATACCAGTCAGCAGTTGAATCTATACCACCACCATCTTTCAGCCGCAACAATCCGCAAGCATCCAGGCTATGTGGCAAACCGCTTGGTACTTGGACCATTTGCGCCGGCGCATCCTGCTCAGAAGAATTTACTGGCGAGATAGATAGTCACTCAAATTTGCCGCCCCGCGGCTTGGTCTTTGGAATCTTCCGATGATCTGCGCTTGCTTCTTGCAAATTTCAGCATGGTGATCTGTGGCTCCGCACGCTGCACAAGCATGCGCGAACCGGCAGTTCTTCAGCTTGCACTCACCAAGGCGCCACTTGAAACACTCTCCATTGCGTAAGCGTTTTGATGGACCTGTGGCCGGTGCTGTTGGGCGCTTCCGCGCCAATGGCTCTCTGCTGAACAACTTTTCCAACTTTGGACGAGGCATCAAGAGAGACCTGAGCATATCCCTGTCAACAGCAATTGAATGTAAAGCATCATCAATGCTCGAACCTGCATAGCACAAGTTGAAGACTTCTCTCATTGCAGCTTGGTCTGCCTCTTCGGCTTCTTGGGCCGAGCAGAAACGCAAGTGGGGTCCTGGCACCTGAGTATAGAATTTCATGAACCTGTTGTTGTAAAGCGTCCAGCTACCTAAGTGCCCGCTCCCAACCATGGCATACGCATGCCCACGCACTGTCAGCAACTGCAAAATAGGAAAAGGCTGATTGGACAACTCACGGTCCAACTGCTCCTCCACATTCGCCCCGCATAAAACTTCTAGGGGCCCGAGAGCAGGCTTCTTATCTTTAAGCGCAGAAGCCACCTTTTCGCTCAACACCTTCTTCCATGGCAACCAATCCCAAGCCTTGTTGTCATGCTGCGTCTTCACAATGTTAAGAAAAGGCATGGAAGGAAGTGATTCCAAGTCCACCACACAACCTGTATACTTTGCCTCCAGGGCGCAACATCGAACACAACCGGCCGCAACAGCAAACAAGAAAGAAAACAACACAAAATGCAATACAACTTTCACAAACTGGGCCCTTGCCCTGTATGCTGCAGCTGCACTTAGCATACCAAAGCTACAAATCGCTGACAAAGCATTCACAAAGCCAAGGCACCTTTAACCTTCCACAGCAAGGGATTGACCTTCCCAATCCTACGGTTGGGGGGTTACCGGTGCTCGACCATTGCAACACTAAGGGGATCTTTTTGCAGGGTTCGTCTCTTCTTCAAATAAGCTTCACGGGCACACCCTTCTACCCTCTTGCTTACAAGGACTGTGTCACCACCAGCAACCCCAAGGACATGGAGAGAAAACCTGATTGCAACTAAATAGGACCGCAAAAATGTTGGCGCAGAGGTGTCAGCGTGTTCACACATAAAATTGTAAACCGTAGCCTCATTCAAAGGAAAAGCAGGAATGCCCTTTTTGTCACTCCACATGACATACCGCAGAACTGGACTGGCACGTGCATGAAGTGTGCCCGTGGCTTTACCTGCAAAAATGTGCTTCAGACCATCACCCAAAGCCTGTCCCATCGGTGACAAGCGGTCCCATTGTCTGCCAATTTCAAATGAGTTCAAATACATCATGATGATTCCAGCCCACTTCCGAATTGCTGCAACTCGCTGTGAATTCAGCATGGCCTCCCAAGAATGTCCTGTCACAGTTCGCTTTGCCCTGAAAATCCTTAGAGCCTCAGGTTTGTCAGAGGTGTCTTCTTCACCTTCATGCTCGGGGGAGACCACTGCAATCACGCCACAAGGTCTTGGAACCAAAGGTATACTGCTGCCAGGAATTGAAATTGGAGGGCGCACAACATAAATTGGATTGAAAATTGACCCCCACACCGCACGTCTCGAAAAAGCCAAATGTGACTCAAAAGCATCCATATCATTACAGCTCATCCCCACTTTCAAACCACAGTAAATAGGCAATTGCTGCGAAAAATCCAACAATGAATGACAACATGCCACAACAGCACAAAGTTGGAATGAAAATAAATGACACATGTACTGATGAAGTTGGAAATGCAGCGTGGCCCTTCTGGATAGCTGATGCAGTGCGAAAGGTCGCAGGCATGAGCGAGAAGACACAAAAACGTTTGGCCAAATGCCAGCGAGATCACTTGAGGGGAAACTTGAGCCACAATGGTTTCCTTTTTTTTTGGTTGAGGTGGCACATGCCACACCTGCGAGTTGATAAGGTAACAAGGCTGAAGCCTAGTGAAACTTTTGTCCAAGGCCTGGCAACCACTCAATGTTCTAGGGGTCTTGATGTTCTTCTTCGTCAAACTTTCCTGCATCCGTTGAAGATGAATCAGCATCTGACTCACTGTCCTCGTCGAGGTCCTCCTGGCCCTCGCTCTGCTGTATGCGACGTTTGCAATGGAAGCAAACTGCGTCGAAAGCCCCCAGCGCCACGTCCGTCACGGGTTCCATCTCTTGACACCTCCATGATTGCACCGGGCAGGCTCCTGCCAAATGCAAGCGCCTGAATCCGTTTCGCCTGGAGATCGTCACAAAGTATGTGGGGCCTTCCTTTGAATCAGGATGGGCTGCTCCAGACATCGTCCCGGATTCAGCTTCCAAATTCCGTTGGTGGCGATCCTCATTCTCAACTTCCGCATCAGTGTCTTCCACAATGGTGAAGCGAGGGTCCAACCTGTCAATGGGCAAGACGCGATGTCGCCTGACCAACCGGTATCCGACCAAACCCTGTCGGTCAGCGAAGTCCTTGATGTCTTCAAGGAGCTCTTGTTCATCATATCCACCAGCACCCACCTGTTTGTAGAGTGCTTCCAAGATCTCTCTCTGAATTGCCTCCACTACCTGTCTAGAAGTGTGGAGATATGCATTGCTCCCTACTCGTCCAATTGCCCAGCGACCCAAATAGTCACGCCTCTCTTTCTCAACACCAATCGCAGCTGCAGCTTGCGTGGCAAAATGCCTCGCACTGTGTCCCGTCCAGAAAAGGTTCAATGTCTAGGGCACCAAAAGCAGCTGTTCACTGAGCGTCCATCGTCCCTCCGCAAAACGTGGGGTGCAGAGGCGCGACAAGACCATCCTGAAATAGTTCGCCAACTCTGGAGGTTCCACAATCTTGGGTATGAAGCCTGAAAAATCTTTGGACGGTCCCGGAGTCAAATAATCTCGGGGATACTTCATGTCATCCCGCTGCATCGACAGCATGCCAACCACCATCCAGTCCTCTCCGGTAATGGAGACCTCTCTGCAAACAAAACCATGCACAGCACCATGAATTCTTCCTGGTCCAGTGGTTTTCGTTCTCGCCAACTTGAAGCTCAGTCCTCTGTTGCTCAAACGCAAGGGCTCCGGCTGAATGCTTTGTATGTCATCAACACGCAGTGAAGTCCAACTAGCCAGGAACATGAGCCACCCCACAAACCTAAAGTAATAGTCGGTCTCTTCATTGACAACCAAGAGCTCCAGTGATGTCATGATGGCCACGGTGTATGGCCTTGCAGGTCCCCTCTCCTTTCCGCTTCCACTCAAAGCCACCTTCCAGCTTTTCAAGTGTTCCTGCAAGAAGGGATCTCCTGCAATGCGCCTGGAGTCCGGCACTTTCCCAACCTGCTCCAACAAGGACAAAGCAGCCAGGAGCTCGTTGGGGTAGCTCACAGGACACCCATAGTCAATCAACTCTTCTATGAAGTTCACCACTTGCGTAGCGTCTTTTGGCCACACAACCCCATATGTTGCATTAAGCCAGGAGCGAAACTTGTTCCTCTACAAAATTTACTTGCTAGATAAAACCTAAGTAACCACCCGCAGGCACTCTGGCCAAGCACTCACTTTTCAATGCGCAGATGAATCCAGGTGGGACCACTGCTGGGTGGCAGCCCAGCAGCAGCCCCACCTCACCAGCCCTCTTGGGCTATGAGCACATGGGCTCAAGCAGGCAAACCATGAATTTTCTCAATTCTTCTATAATTCATGCAGATCTCTGCCATCATACCTGGATCGAGAGTTTCCTGACACTGGGGCAACACGTGCCTGTCAAAAAACCAGCTAGTAGAAGCTGAAACCAAATCCAAATTTCTTTGGCGGTGGGTGGGGGGGAAAAGAAATCTAACCACCAGGCAAGGGCTAGCCAATCCACAAGATAACACTATCCAAGTGCACCATACACAGGGGAACTACTTCACAGCTCACACTGTCAGGAAACTTAACAAATCAACAATGTGCAATTTCACACAAGGGGCCCACACGCTCACAGTTAAGCTCCACAATCTGCCTACATGAACTAGCCATGCATCAACACCTACAAGGCAAGGTAAATTTAGAGAGGGATCGATTCTTTAGTGCAAGCTCTCAAGAATGCAGTACCTCTACAAAATTTACTTGCTAGATAAAACCCAAGTAACCACCCACAGGCACTCTGGCCAAGCACTCACTTTTCAATGCGCAGATGAATCCAGGTGGGACCACTGCTGGGTGGCAGCCCAGCAGCAGCCCCACCTCACCAGCCCCTTCGCCAGAATTCATCAAGCACCCCTACTGATAAGGTGGTTACCACTCCGTCAAGAAAAGCCACACCAAGGCTCCTCCAACAACTCTCGAACATTCAGTCGAACGCGTCGACCCGGATCAAAGCCTTCTAGGCAATTCCGGCTGAGGTTGTCGGCCCATTGATTTCGAACACCAGCCACATGCTGGGGGTCTAAACAAATGCCTAATCTGCAGCAATCAAAGCCCACGGCCTCCAAAACATAACACAACGGCACTTGCATAGACAATTTCTTCCGCAAGCTGGCGGCAGTGCCCATGTTGTCGCAAAGCTGGTGGAAACGCAGCGTCACACCAGGTGGTGGAACCTGACCTGCTGTCCGTCCAACAAGCAAACATAGCTGCGCAACGCCTTCAAAGGAAGCAATATCCTGCTGCAAAGTCTCTTTCGCACACAACCAGGAAGGCAAAGACGTCGAGTCCAGCATCTCACTAAACCAAAACACCTTCGACTGTTGCAGCGCATCTTCGGAGACAGCCCACCAACCTCCTACACCTGCACGCTGTCCTGTTGCAAATGCGTCAGCTGCACTCCGCACACGCCCGGGCTCCAAAACGCGCAAAGGAATGCGAACTTGGTTTTCCACTGCCCTCAAGAAAAGCTGGGCAGCCCATGCTGCGGCTCGGTTACATTGAATAGTGGGGCTTGAATAGTTGTAAAAAACACAGCTGATCATTCCCTGACGAATACGGGGAGTTCGCAACGGCTCACTGTCAAGTGAATCAACTGGGCAGTTCCAAACAGAATGAAGTTTCCAACCATGCAGAATATCGCAATCCATCAAATCTCGAGAAACAACAAGTTTGTTCGTAAGGGCCCCAAGAAGAGCACCAAACTGCCCACTAGACACAGAGCGAAATACGCATGCAGGTTTCAACAATAAATGATATATACTCTGCAGCCATGGTTTCAACCAGTAGGCCCCACCACAGAACCACACCAACATGCCTATGCAGCGCTCCACAGTCTTGCGGGGTACCTTGCGACCGGGTGTTGTCAGTTCCGTGAGCAATCCTAACAAGGTTTGTCGCTTGTTGTCTGGTAGTTCCGCAAAGCCACGATCCCAATGAAAAGACCAACCAATCCACGACTGTAGACCTCCCATACGCACCTTCTCCCACGACAGCGGAACTCCTAGAGCAGCGAGAAACAAGAGCAGAGTTGCTGACAAGATTGGGCAGACTCTATGTGGGAAAAGGGCCAAACCGTCATCGACGTAGATGAATAGACCATGTTGGACCCAAAGAAAGCGATGACAATGACGGACCAAGAATGCACCCACTCTTGAAAACCAATAGGCCGCCCAACGACATCCAAAATAGCAAGACCTGTAGACGAACCAACGACCTTGGACAACGAAGCAGGAAAGGCCCTGTTCAGCAGGAGACACATTGACCAATTTATGTGCCCCTCACATCAAAACTCAAAGCCCCCCATTGTACATCGGGACCAGATAATGACATGAAGCGCTGGACGCTCTCAAAGGTTGGTAGGCGCACCTTCTCCTCAATGACACAATGATGGTTTGCTCCCGAAATCGTCCCATCCCCGATGAGACGTGGTTTCTTTCCAGGCGGCTGTGCTATTCCTAACTTGCCCGCGGCAACCAGATCACCCCACCGCTGTCGCGCTTCCGCCTCCCCTCCAATCAGTTCATAGGCATGACCTGCTGCCACATCCTTCAGCATTAGCTCCAGAGTAAGGTCTTCACGGTCTAAACCACTGCGCCAAGGCTGTAAATGAATTGACAGGTCATCTAAACCAAGGTTAGGGGCAGGCTCAGACGGCTCCCAAATACCTGAAAATGGAATTGGAGAGACTATACCTGTGGGTACACCGCGCTCCAAAAGTGGGGGAAGCAAGGCATCCTTGTCATCGCAACAAGCAGCTAATGCAGACCACGCCTCAAGCAAAAAGGGTTGATAAGGAGACACCTTTGTTGAACAATCAAACCCCTTGTTCCGCAAAAAGGATACTAGATCGCGCTGAGCTTGATGTATTTCCTCAGGAGAAAACAAGCAATTTGCATTTGGGTGCTGCGAATGGGCTTGAAGCCGCTCGACAACCCCCCAGGAAACAACTAAAGATTGAAAATGTCTCCGAAGCTCACGCAGCACATCAGAATCAGCACGTGGAATTAACCAATCTGCAGAAGAAGCGCATCCTCCCCCGTCAGCGATGGGAAAAGGCGCGGCCATTGATACCGGCGCGGCGCGGGGCGAAGGGGCTACCGCCTCATGGGGCGTCAACGCAGGCAACTCGCAAGAATCATTGCTCGCATCCACCACCGAACTTTTTGCTGGGCCGGCAAATAGTCACTCCACGGCACTATGATCAAATTTGCAAGCGTCACCAAAAGAACATTTGCCATGCTGTTTGAAAGCGAAACAAGGCGGCTTCCCTTTTTGATGTGGGGCTTCAGACATTTTCCCTTTTCCGTGCCTGCCTCGTGGCCTCTTGGCATCAACAAGCGGCTGCGGCAAGGTGCGCTTGGGCCCCTTGGCACTGATCACCGATTCTGCATTGACCACCTTGGGTTTGGGTTGCAGCCACATTTGCAAGCTGTGGCGCACCACCACCACTTCATGAAGAGCGGAATCAAAATGGAATCCATCACTCAGTAAGGCATTGAGTTGACGACACAATTCGCCATCTGCATGTTCTGCTTCGGCCAGAGTTGGGGATCGAAGACCCAGTGACCCCAAACCAGGAGCGGCATACAGCCCCATGAATGCCTGCACCAATCGTCGACCTGCACCAAGGTGGCACCAACCTACTAATGCCCATGCTACTGAACGTAATAAAAGCAAACGCTGAACACCATAATGAGAAGGCGACGGGTCTTGCTCCAATGCGTTGACATGTCCCGCAGCATCAGCCAGCACATCAAGAAAGGTCTTCTCCTTGTTCCCCGCTTGTTTGGCGCGATCCGCTTGCGCTTCACTGAGAATCTGCCGCCATGGAATGAAACGGAGCTCATTGGCCGCTTTTTGCGCAAAGACCATCTGAACCAACGCCTTGCAAGGTCTGGTATCGCCCACGATCACTTCTGCCGGATAATTTTTCGTGAAATCCGACCACAATTTTTGCAGAGCATCACTTGTGAGTCGCGGGCCAACATCGAAGCCAAACAGATTGGAAGATACTTTGGCAGGTACGGCAGGTGCTGCCTGTGCTGCTACACTTGGCGGGCCATCGCAGATTGTGCGGCACTCATGCAAAAGCCGGCGCAAACACCCGGCTTCTGCAGACTGAAGCATGGGTGCAGCTGCCTTGATGTCTATCTGTGCTTCATCCAAAATTGCACCAAAAGTCTCCTCGGAGCCTTCTTTCAATGGCCAAAAGAATTTTGCTGGGGTTGTAAATCCGCGGGACTCCAAGGCTTTTATAATCGGATCAACTACCCCAATCTTGGCGCACAAGGATTGGAAAGTCTCTGTGCAGTCCATTGCCGTCATGAGCAAAACACAATCAAATGAAATGTGAATCAAGCGAGAGTAATCTCTTGCAAGTACATGCAGCACACACGATCTATGTTCGCTATAGCACAAGAAGGAAAAGCCGAATATGAAAACTTTACATGCAACCTTCCATCACTTTGGACACAAAAGGCGACATCCGCGCCAGGCATACGCAAAATTCAATCTATGACTCAATAAAGCATGCCCTGATGCACAGCAAATAATCTTACCACAAACTGTTTGCCTCCTAGGATAACTCCTACAGAGCCCACCACAGCTCAACCTGCGCCACTCGGACGCACCCAATGAGCACACCACGGCTCAACCTGCGCCACTCGGACGCACCCCACTGAGCACACCACGGCTCAACCTGCGCCGCTCGGACGCACCCCACTGAGCACACCACGGCTCAACCTGCGCCACTCGGACGCACCCCACTGAGCATACCACAGCTCAACCTGCGCCACCCGGACGCACCCCATAGAGCACACCACGGCTCAACCTGCGCCACACGGACGCACCCCACTGAGCATACCACAGCTCAACCCGCGCCACACGGACGCAACGCAACGACCAACAATGACCAAAGCAGCCTGTAAATTAACACCACTTACGCTATCCGGGCGCTAAAGCTGGCACACTGTCCGCGTAATGGACGCAAGCAATCACACTAGTGGACATGGCCACAAGGACATCACACCGCAGCTGCACAAGCCGGATGAGCACAAGGCAAATAAATCTCTTCACTATCTGCTGGACTGGAATGCCATACCTCCCACCTCGGTGGGCGCAGAACTTGCCGTGGAGCGCAAGCTCGAGCAAATTCATCAGTTCCAAGGCAAATTGCTGCGTGATAAAAACAAGTGGAAGTATTTACCACAAAAACTCCTGCTGTCAAAGGCTGCGTCGAAACCTGAATCACAGAAGCCTCATCAGAGTCAGAGTCGCTTGACATAGACGAAGAAGAACTTGACTCCGAATCATCTTCGGTTTCTGAACCATTGTCAGCATTGCACCTAACCTGGTAAGCGGGCACTTGCAAACCACTAGGTATCCAAGATAACAATGGCAACGGCTGCGCAGGCACTGTTTCTGAGGCAGGTGGCGAAGAACCTCTAGCTTGGGGTGTTAGGGGAACCCAACCCTGACGAACATGGTGTAGCACATGCAACTGAGCCCGCAGAGCTGGCAACACATCATCGCGGCTATATTTGCTCGCCATCTTTGTTCCAGAATCTCTTCCACGATGATGGCCCCACAACCGACGTTGAGTGTGATCAACATCAAGCTGCAGGGCCCAAGACAAGCCAGTGGTCTTAAGGCTATGTAACGTGTAGTTACATGCTTGCTCAGGTAACACACCCCCAACCGAAACCAAAAGTTTGCGAAGAAGACCTAGTGCATAGGCAAAGTTCGCGCGTGCACCCCCAGGGCCAGTTAAAAGAAAATCACACTGTCGCATAACATTGCAAAGTTGTAAAACGCCATCATCCCAAGCAGCGTAGAGCCCAAGGGTCAATATACCAAAGGGCATACCATCCCGAGCAGATTTTGTTCGATAGCAACGTCCCCGCACAACTCCTCGCTCGAGAAAGATGGAACTGACATCAATTCTTTGAATGTCACTAAAACGCAGAGCGCCCCATACCATCATCAAAAAGACAACTAAAGCCAACGTATTTTGAGTCACCGACGTAGCTAGATCTTCATGGACTTGCGCTTCAAAGGCAGCAACCACAAAAAGGGGAAGGGGAAGAGCTTCTTTACAAGGTACTCCTGTGGCTGGTGACTCACACCAAGCTAGAATCACTGGGTGCGCCAACGTGTCGAGCCAAGCTTTCCACCCCATGAGGGATGCAACAAACTTCAAAGAACAAAGGGAAGACTTTGCACCACCTAAACACTTGCCGTTTGCCACCAATGCCTGAATAAATGCAACCAAGTCAATCAAAGGAGGATCATACACTGGCCAATTTTGATGTAACGCAAATTGACTCCAAAGCCGCCAACTTGGCAGATGGCGGCGCAAAGTTGAAGCTGCCTTTTGATGTAGAACTCGATCTAAGGACGACTGCGCCAAGAAGCCTAGTTCCGCAAATGCAGGAGCCTGTGAGATAAACGGTGTCAAAGTTGCAATCCATGCATCACACCATTTCTGAAGCTCTAACTCCTCAGCATGACGGCCTGAACCAATCCCAATGATAGGACCAACTCTGGAAGAACCTGATCCTTGAACTGCATGATGTTCAACTAAATCAACTCCTCCACGGGGCATAGCATCTGACAACTTCGGCCATGAAGACCAAGTGTCTGGCTTCACGCCAATCACTGGAGCAGCCAGGCCCGACCCCCGCTGACTCACGACAGTGCGGGAGGGGCCAGGACAAGGAGGCGCAGTTCCAGCACGCGCATAATAAGGGCCTAAACCCACCTGGTGTCGCTCACGCAACATCGCAGCAAAACACAAGAAAAGAAATCTAACCACCAGGCAAGGGCTAGCCAATCCACAAGATAACACTATCCAAGTGCACCATACACAGGGGAACTACTTCACAGCTCACACTGTCAGGAAACTTAACAAATCAACAATGTGCAATTTCACACAAGGGGCCAACCCACACGCTCACAGTTAAGCTCCACAATCTGCCTACATGAACTAGCCATGCATCAACACCTACAAGGCAAGGTAAATTTAGAGAGGGATCGATTCTTTAGTGCAAGCTCTCAAGAATGCAGTACCAGGCCCTAAAGCGGTTCCGCAAGGTTTTTGCCCTACGGCTTCCCCAGACTCTCAACCAAGCAAGCTCCGGTTTGTCCAGAGTAACGATCTGCAGGGCAACCGGCAAACATGACTCCTCAATGATGCTAGCAAGTTCCAACGCATACCTTCTGCGTTCCCTGTCTTCCTTCTCTGCGCGGCTGCCAAGTCCTCCAAGATCCTTGGATCGCTTTTGTGCGCGCCGAGCTGCTTCAAGGAAAGCCTTGGGGTCGTTGTGCACAATCTCCTCAAATTCCAGTGAAGGCTTCGATGGGGCCGGTTCGCCCGGCAACAACAGAGTTCCGGCAATCCCTTCCAGATGCAAACGACGTCTGCGCTTCATGCCAGGTCCAGCTGAAATTTTCCACTGCAGCAAGTTCTCAACAGCTGATTCCAGAAATGCATCAGAAATCGAATCAGAATCAGAGCACAAAAGTTTGACCAGTGAACGCGCTTCTTCTGCAGCGTCAAACGCCTCGTAGAAATGTCTGACCTCCCCAAACGTCTCTGCAACCAGCCTCAAGATATTTGCACCAAGAAATGCCAGATCATCCATTGCTTGCGGCCCAACGGGCTAGCTACCGGCGCCCCATCCTATCAAAAATTTTGACAACTCCTAGGTCCTCAGCCTTATCTGCACATGGATGGGAAATGACGGACCGGTACAGCTGAGCGATGTGAGAATGCTGAAGCCCAGCAAAAATTTGAATACATTGATCTGACAAGATCCCCTGGAAAATGATTTCTCATCTCTGAAGATTGTCCAATAAAATTTTGACATGCCTCGACTGAACATGTCCGCATCTCCAAATGATTCTGCTCAAATGAAATCACTGAAATTGGAAACTGAAAATAAACGCCGACGAAAAGGAAGTCATTCCGAGTCCGCCGCTCAAACTGAAACTTCCGCAAAGCAAGAAGAGAGACAAAGACCAGAGAGACAAGCAACCAGGAAGGGCCCCGAAAGGGAAGCCAGCCAGAAGCAGGCAGTACGCTGACACCGAAAGAGGGGAAGCACCAGCACCCTGGGGAAAGAAGCGGACAACAAGCACCCGGCCCTCCCTCCCAGCAGCCCCTGCGAACAGTCACCAAAAAGGGGACCTTTAGGACCATAGGCGGTGCCCCGTTCTCACGAAGGCTGCAGCCAAACGCGACCACCAATAACTCGCCCAGGAAGCACCAAAGTGCGCAGTCCGGTAAAAGACCCAATGACAAACACCATCTTGATCAGGCACAGCGAAAATACTAAGTCCCTGTTCTGACGGGTGAATTTTTACGCGTTTGTGCGCTTTGTTGGAATCCAAGCTGAAAGCGATCCAATCTTGATGCGCATGCCGAGAAACGAAGGCCCCAATGCTAGAGATCCCAGGGAGTTCAAAATTTTCTCTCTGATGCGACACAAGCCATTTACGTTTGAAATTGAGCTGTCACCGACTAACCTTGGGGCAGAACCGTCTTTCTTTACAACGCCGAACTTGCCAGCAGCGCAGTGCGGGCCAAACCGCTTTCGAGCTTCCTCCATGCCAGCAGGGAGCCACTCAGCAAAGCCGTCCTTTACATCAGATTGCACAAGTGCCAACAGCAGGCCTGGATCATCGAGGCCAGAAGGCCAAGGTTCATCCCACACCAGAAGTTCATCAGGAGGTCGATCTGCAACCTCGATTTCTCGCCAAATACCAGAGGGCGGAATTGTTTCTAGTACACCTGTTGGCACACCCAAAGCCAGCTGGTCTGGCAGCCCCACGTCTGTATCAGACCAGAGCTGCAGCATTCCTTTAAGCAGATCTAGCGTGATAGGCTGATGACTAGCAATTGTCTCGCTGCATGCACACCCTTGCTTTTTCAAAAAAGAACACAGATCACTACGTAGCACCTGGATCTCTTCGTCACTCAACAAAGGCGTGCGCGCACACGTGAGAACATGCTCACGAAGTCGCGGGACCAAGCCCCAATCCATAATTCTAGACCACCACACCTGCCTCAAGTCTGCTGCAAGGTCTGGATCACGCGGCGCACACCAATCACCATCCGAGCACATCCCCCCGCCATCACGCAATTTCACTCTAAAAACCTGAAGCACTACCTATCTGCAATGCGGGTTCAAATGCAACCGGTTCCTTGGAACCCTGGGCAATCAAACAATACGGATTTTCTGGCACAGGGGAGCCGCCGCTGGGTCGTCGGGCTTGAGTCACCGCACCGACTGTTGGGCACCCAGCGGAGCCGGCGTCATAGGATTGTCACTCCTTGCTCTGTGGGCAAGACCGCGAATCATGCTGCGAACTGCCACACGAAGCACACACATGCTTAAATCTGCAATTGGGATCCGAGCAACGACCATCCATCCAAGCAAAACATTCGCCAGACCGTGGTTTTTTGGATGCAGAGGGCAAGGGCAGGCGTCGCTTTGGCCGGGACATGTTCTCTGCCGTTTCATCCGGCAGCCCGTTGCGCTTCAACGGCTTGCCTTTCCCATTGCCTTTGCCCTCCCCCTTTGGTCTGTCACTGCGCATCGGCTTTGGGACCGAGACCAGCAAGTGGCGCAAGATGTCTCGTTCCACCAATACCTGGTGGAGAGCATCATCCATACTGAAGCCCGCAAAACACAAATCAAATACTTCCTGAACAGCCACATGGTCAGCCTCCTCCGCTTCTGCTCCAGACGGACCACGATAGGTGTCCCCAACCTTCTTGGTATAATAGGCTAGAAATTTTTTGTTGTAAAGCGTCCACGAGCCTAGATGACATGCCCCACACATCGCAAAAGCATCGGCCCGTGTCTCCAGCAGGCACTGGATCCGGTACGCAGACTGAACATTGTCCGGCCCTCGCTCCTCCCGCAGGACTCCCATAGAGTCAGCTACTAAATGTAACAAGTCGTTGTGGGAGTCGGCAGCTCGCCGGGCCCGTGCCTCTTGCGATACAGCTTCTGACAAGATACGCTTCCAGGGAATCCATTCCCAATGTTTGCCAACGCACTGCTGCTTGACTATTTGAAGCAAACCCATGGAAGGCAAAGTATCATGGCAAAACACATGTGATGCATATTTTGCTTCTACTTCTTTGCGCATGCGGTCACGGTCAGTAGTAGACTTTTTCGTGCAGGCAGGAAGTGGCGCGGCAGTTGACACACCGGCTTCTGGCGCAGGTGGGGGCGCAGGCTTAGAAACTTGCTGCCACAAAATCCTGCACTTAGCCGCCACCGGATGCGAGATCCATTCCGCTGGTGGTAAATCTTTGAAAGCTTCACACTTGCTTTGGAAGCGAGTCAGCCAGGCTTCAAGCGCCGAACTGTCCGTAAAGGCAAATCCGAAGATGTCAGCTGCATCATAGCCCTCCTGGCTGATTGCTTCCTGAATCGCTTCAGCCAACCCCACCTTTGTCATGATCTCCGACCAAGATGAAGGCATGGTGCCACGCAGCAACAATAAAAACAACAAACGTTGCAAAACCTTGAGCACACGTGTCAATTAAGCTTTAACTGGCTCGACCTCACGTCGCAACACCGCGCATGGCAGAAAGAAAAAACTCCGCATGGTGCAAGACCAGTCACACAAACTGCGCAAAGGAAACTGCAAGACACATTGCAACAGCCTACTGCACCGAAGGGAAAGAAGAGCTGCTTCCTGCAGCGAGAAAGAGAAAGCTGCCTCCTGCAGCGAGAAAGAGAAAGCTGCCTCCTGCAGCACAAGAGAAAAGCTGCCTCCTGCAGGAAAAAAAAGGAAAAGCTGCCTCCTGCAGCAAGAAAGAAAAGCTGCCTCCTGCAGCACAAGAGAAAAGCTGCCTCCTGCAGCACAAGAGAAAAGCTGCCTCCTGCAGCACAAGAGAAAAGCTGCCTCCTGCAGCACAAGAGAAAAGTTGCCACCTGCAGCAAGAAAGAAAAGCTGCCTCCTGCAGCAAAAAGGAAAAGCTGCCTCACGCAGCGTACCCGAACGAAATGAAGCTGTAGCAGCATGTATATGAATATGCATACAGATTTTGAAACTGCATCCTGCGGCCAAAAGCGAGCAACTGCCACCTGCAGCTGAGCATGTACTTAAGAGCTGCTATACAAGCAACACTAAGCAGAAATAACTTGCACACAGGATGTCGCCCAACGTCGGGACTTCAACACTCAGCTGAGCACTTGGGCTCACAACCAAAGCACCCTGAGTGGTGACAACGCGAGTAACCTTCCAAAAAGGGATCAGAAGTGCGCACTAGATTCACTAGATATTGTGCCCCCAGGGCTTGCGCAGGGCGGCAGGAAAGTGCTACACGACCATGGGGCGCAAGCAGGCCCATATCACTGCCCTCGTCCACATGCGTGGCTTTGTGATACCAGCCAGTAGTGGAGTTGAGGATCCACGGGCCATTTTGCAAAACTTCCTCATCTGAACTGCTTCCCGCATCAGTGTCGCTGTCGCAGCTCCTGTCAGAAACCTCCCCAGGTTCTGCTGCCTGAATGCCTTGTACGTTAACAATGCCGCTGGCAACATCGCCGGGTAAAAGGCGCAAATCCACAACGCGCTCAGGAGCATGTTCCATGATGGATGAAGCACCACGCGACAAGGCAGTTTGTGGCACCCAGCCACTGCCAATGGATTGAAGTATCAACCGCTGGCAGCGCAAAGCAGGCAAGACGTCATCACGGCGATATTTTTCTACGCTACCTGTTGCTGTTCTCAAGCGATGGTGCCCTTGGCAAGCACGATCCTCTACAGGTGCTGAAATTTGTAAGCTCCAGCTCAGTGTTGTGGCTTTGGGGCTATGCAGGGTGTAATGGGATACAGCTGTGGGCTCCAGTGTTGTGTAAGTCCCTAAACACCTGCGAAACTGTGCCACGGCAGCAGCGTAAGACAAGGGCACACGATCAGAACTCAAAAGAAAGTCTCTGCCCGAATCCTGCGCTCGTAAAGCTAACAATCTATTTGCAAACTTGCAGCCCCAGCGCAAACCAGTAGCACCAACCGTCAAAACGCCCCAGGGGAACCCAGTGGGGGACGATTTACTGCGCCAGCACCAACCTCTGATCACACCATCTTCAACTTGTACCGATGCCAGATCAATGCGCTGTCCGTCACTGAATCTGAGGGCCCCCCATAGCATGAGGAGCAAACAACCAAGCACCCAAGAGTCTTCTTCCGCGCCCGAAGCAGCAGCTTCTTCCAACTCGCAAACAGCAAACAGTGGCAAAGGGAGCGCTTCATTTGGTGGTGCCCTATCCCATTTGGCACTGCTGAGCCAAGCGCACACTGTCGGTCCTGCCAGCAAAGTATGAAACTTGTGCAATTCCAATTTGAAAGCCATGAACTTCATCGCATGAACAACGCTACGAGCAGCCCCAACACGCTGCGATCCGCGGTCAGAGCGGGCGCCTTCTGCTAAAGCTAAGAGAAAATCAAGTAGTTCCTTGGCTGTAGGGGAGCCAGTATCCACGGCACAGCCCTGACAATAGCTCGCCCACCTACGCCAACCTGAAAGGTGTTTCCGCAGAGTTCCTGGTGCACGGTCTCCAAACAAGAAAGCAATGTCTGCAACTTCAACTTCGACTCCCTCCAAAGCCGATAACACTAGACTGTGTTTGGCCACTGCGCGTGCCAGCCCTACCAGCATGCGGGCTAGGTCAAGCCGCTCCACTCTCTCTGCTTCAGCCTTCCATCCCGTAGGCCCTGCTGCTGTTGTCAATTTGCGCACTGCAATACGCTTGCTGCCTACTGCTTGGATGGACAAGCAGCAAGGAACCGGAACATCCTCCAGTCTACCAAACCTAGAGGGCACTTTGATACGACTCACCTCTCGCCTTTTATCAAGCTTCAAATCTGTGAGCTGATAGGGCGAAGGCCGCAGCTTAGGCGTAGGCCTAAAGTCTGCAGCCACATCATCTAAGTTAAAGGCGCGGCACAGCATAACAAAAGAAAGCAACAGGAAAAAAACACAACCACACTTGCAACAAACTTTGCTGCTCCCTTCCACTGCCCTTCCTTTTTCTATTGAAAATCCTTTCCTGCACACTAGGGCACCTGAAGCAAATCAACACCTGTTCAAAATCCAAGCAGGGGGGTGTGAGGAAGTGTGAGGCTATGAGTGATCGCCTAATCCTTTATTCAGGGATTGTGCAATCTTCGATGGCAAAAGTTGCACCTGAACAACGCAACTGATGCAGTGTACACCACACGCAGTTTGAACAGCATTCTTAGGAAATTAGCTTGGAACGTCGATAATAAAAGCAATTTGATCACCGACCAAGGGACCCTTAGTTTTGAAATTGATTCATTTAAGTCAATATGCGGGTTTGCTCAACAGGCTTGGTTCCGGGCAATGTGGAAAGTTGACAAACGAGTCAGCCAATTGGAACGTGAGCAGTGGCCTGACCTCCAGGTCTTAAATCGCGCCAGTGCAAATCTTGATAAAATCAATTGGCAACGTGATGCAGTGCTTACGGGTGCTGGAGTGGATGGTCGTATGCTGTTAAAATTTCACAAAAAAGAAGTTTTCTATTTTTGTGGTGAAAGCAACCCTAATCGTAGACATCTCACATGGCATTGTGAAAGTTTTTGCAGCGCATAGAGTCCAGTTTTTTACTGCCCAAGATGTGCCTGCTAGACAAACGGCTGCTGAGGGATTGCTTGTCCTTTCTCGTCCATGCGAGATGCAATTTGCCCCGACTGATCTTTTGAAGCAAGGACTCTCGACTTTGTCTTTTAAAACGCAACTGGATTTAATCTCTATTGTCACTAGTGCTTTTCAGAATCCGCAAGGTAACATGTCCATCTTAGCCACTGACGGTGGATCTTCTCGCTGTGCTCGTTGCACACGAGGCGCGTGGGCAATTGCCAATTGTCACCAGGCAACCGGTGGTACACTACAGGGTTTCGATCAAAGCTCTTACGCTGCCGAAATCAACGCTGTGCTAATTCTCCTTTTGGCAATTGAACAGTGTTTGCACCTTTTTGCTCATGACATCATAATCTTGATTGACAACCAGGATGTTGCAAAAAAAATTGAATTTGTTCAAGGTGGACATTCATTACATTTAGTTATATCTCATACAAGTAGATATAACCATAAAGCAAAACGCAACAAAAGCATATGTATAAACATATATTATACATATATATATATATATATATGTATAAATATTAAAAAGCGCGTGAATCGAAATCGCAAATCAAAACCGAAACAGACATGAAATTTCCACATCTCCCTTCCACTTGATCCCTCGCTCTCGAATTAGTACTTCCTTTTTTCCACATTGCTGGATATTAGAATGCCAATCTGAACCAGTTCGTTCTGGTCACAAATCCATCTATGTCAATGGACTTAAATTCCCCCCGTCAAGGATTTATGTCAGCTCATGTGAAACTGGTTTCAATTATCTGCCGGTAGTGGATTATAACAAATCCATCAATGCATGGGTGAAACAAAACGGATGCATGGCAAAATGCGCAGCTGCAAAGGAACCGATGCTCGGATGTTGGATGTTGATTCAGCGAATGACTGGCTAGGATCGGTGTTGGAAACCGATACTGAATGGCGACGGAGATAGGATCTTCGGAAATAAGCTACGAATCTGGATCTATAGGTCCCAAAACAAAAGGGGAAGTGGAGGGAGGGTCAAATTATTTCAAACCAAGCAAAGCAACGCCAAATACAATGAATGTCCACTTGAGCCAAAATGAATCAGGGAATAAAATACTGATAACGAAGTTCCCCATTAAACATAACTGAACAAGTACAGTTAACGTTCAAGGTGGACATTCATTACATTTAGTTATATCTCATACAAGTAGATACAACCATAAAGCAAAACGCAACAAAAGCATATGTATAAACATATATTATACATATATATATATATGTATAAATATTAAAAAGCGCGTGAATCGAAATCGCAAATCAAAACCGAAACAGACATGAAGTTTCCACATCTCCCTTCCACTTGATCCCTCGCTCTCGAATTAGTACTTCCTTTTTTCCACATTGCTGGATATTCGAATGCCAATCTGAACCAGTTCGTTCTGGTCACAAATCCATCTATGTCAATGGACTTAAATTCCCCCAACAAAAAACTATTGACATTTGATGGATGATAACGCCAATTAACCCCCTATAAATAAGTGGGATTATCCAGCAAATTGGAAAAATAAAGGAATGGTAACTCTACGGAGCAATTGCCTGTGACATAATGCTACAATGGAAAAGTCCAAGGGATTTGGGCATCGGACGGATGCAAACTCGGATGCTGATCTAATTGCCAGAGTTGAGATAGGGTCAGCTGAAAACGATCATGGAACAGAAAATGGTGAGGAGGATCACCATTGCCGTCCCATCGGCTCAGGGCATCAGCATAATCATTAGAGTGTCCGGGGATATGCGAAATATCTGCATCGATGTGGGACATCGAAAGCAGAAGGCTCAGCTTCTCAAGAAACAAGGCAATGGGCATGTTGGTAGAAAATAGTTTGTTGGACAATGATTCTGCCGTGGTATTATCGGAAAGCATTGGAATTTTTAGTGGAATGCGTGATCCTGGGAAATGTTGGATGGTAATATATACTAAAGCAATTTGAGCGAGTGTTTCAAGAGATGCAATGTCTTTCTGAAGGTTGTCATGCATTGGAATTTGTAATGCCACAAAATCGGAATGACATAGGGGGAGACTAAACCAACAGCATTGTCCATTTGGGAAATTGATTACTCCCCCGATTCCCCCCTGTTGCCCGGTAGTGAATGCATCGGCAACGCATAACCCTGACCATTGGGGTTTCGGCCACATCGATTTGACGGGTGAAAGATTTTTTAACCAACGCAAATACATTTTTAGGATCCTAGTTGAGGATTGGGAAAGTTTGCGTTTACTAGAATTGGGATCTCGGATCCTGAGCTACACACGCTTATCTGAAAGAGCACAGGTGTGGAGATCTGCTTTAGTTTTCACCGGTTGGTGGCGTACCTGAATTAGTTGGCCATCCACTGGAATGGCAGAGAAGGGGGGTTTTTGGGTAAAAACTAATTGGTCGGAAACGCAGTTGCAAACCGTCTCCCAACTACCTGGGTCAACAGAGAACTGACTGGCCGGAATGGAATGCAAATCTCGATAAAGGTAATGCAACCATGTGCGCATAGACGGCCACAACTGGGTCACCCAAAGTGCCAACCCTAAAAATCGTTCCAGGGATTTCTTCGAACAATGGGATGACTGGAGTAGTTTATTAATCAGTTCCAGGATTTTTGCTCTTTTTGGGGTTGGTAAAACTATGAATCCGGCTGCCAGATGAAATTCCCAGCCTATCCACACAATCGTGGGGCCCAGCTCGCATTTCTTCCATGAGATCGGCAGTCGAAGCAGCATGCACAGGATGGCAATGACAGAAGCGCTCAGACCGATGATAGATGTTTCTTGAAACATCAACAGATCATCAACGTATAAGAACGATGCATGCGGCAAATAACACATTCTATGGAACAGCCGTTGAAATGCCCCTCCAAGTCTCGACCAAAAATGAGCACTCACAACTGCTCCGAAGGGGCAGACTTCGTAGAAATAAATGCGGCCTTTAAACTGGAAACATAAATGGCCTCGATACCGAGGATGGACGGCCATCTGCTTATGAGCACTTTTGACATCAAAAGATACTCCTGAGAGTTGTCGATTCGAACCCCTTAATGGATACGATCGTACCACATCACGAGCCGTAGGTAAACTTGCTTTTTATTTCCTTACACATAAAAAACAGGGGTCAAGAAGTATGGGGGCAACGCCATAATAGGAAGTAAAGACATACAGCACGCTACCCATCGTGAGTAGCCGGAGAACGTGCCATAAACGGAAGTGCGTAACGCAATCGCAACGCAAACAACGCACGTTCGAAAAAAGCCAAACTGCACAAATAAATAAATAAACATGCGGACATGAGAAAACCCTGAAAACCACAAACAGCAACATCGGAATGCAGTGCTTTTTTCCTGAGCTGAATTGGAGTCACACTGCCATCCATCGTTCGGAGGGATGGAATGGGGGTGAGAAGTATACTTGCATACAGGAAAGAAAAAGGGCGAAAAGCATACCTGCATTCAGGAAAGAAGATGGGTAAATAGCATACCTGCATTCAGGAGAAAAAATCCATCACATATGATGGAACATAGGGTCAGGGAGGGCGGGCAAATTTCAAACATGGCGTCCTAAAAAACGCGAAACCCACCCACCCACCTCTTGAACATAAACTGTGGGAAAACATAAAAGTCATTGACATGTACCCAAGATAAGTGTTGACAAGAAAGCACAGCAGTCTGAGGAAAAACACATCAAAGAAAAACGTTGCAAGACAAATGTTAACTGTTTGAAATTACAGTGTTGACATTTGAGACCCATACTTCAAGTGACCCCCAGAACCGCATAGCCTGCATTCAGGCAGACGGTTTTTTAGATTTAGGAAATAAAGAGTTATCACCACGTTGGGCGAAAAACCTCTTATTTCCTTACACATAAAAAACAGGGGTCAAGAAGTATGGGGGCAACGCCATAATAGGAAGTAAAGACATACAGCACGCTACCCATCGTGAGTAGCCGGAGAACGTGCCATAAACGGAAGTGCGTAACGCAATCGCAACGCAAACAACGCACGTTCGAAAAAAGCCAAACTGCACAAGTAAATAAATAAACATGCGGACATGAGAAAACCCTGAAAACCACAAACAGCAACATTGGAATGCAGTGCTTTTTTCCTGAGCTGAATTGGAGTCACACTGCCATCCATCGTTCGGACCCATGGATCCCCCCCAATCACTTATGGGGACGGAAAACAAACTCCAGTGCATATTGGAAAGCTGCCAGCACCACGTTGTGTGCAATCATCTTTTGAGTCTTCAACAAAGGGTGCCTCTGAAGACGTGACGGAAAGTCAGCAATGTTAGAAGGTGAGGCAACCCTCAAAAACCAAGGCAGTATCATCGCTTCCTCGCACAATGTGGAGGCAAGTCGCACCAGCAAAGTTACAAATGGCGCTTTTGAGTAACCTTTTATCAAACCAAATCGCGTCATTGTCAAGGCAGAAAACGACATGTTGTGAGCATAACACTGATGCACAAAGTTTCATCGCCACAACTGTAGCAAGGGTTTCCAATTCAGCAATTGCATTCTCCTGCAGCTGAGCCATGAAGTGTTCAACCTGGTTGGGTTCCAACTTTAATTGGAACCAAGTTTCAACTTGCCCCTTAGGGCTGCACAGCACCCCACCGATGCCACCTGTCAAGTTCGCCTCAAGGCAGGCGTCAGTCAAAACAAATCGAGTGTGTCTGGTAGCCATGTTAATAGACCTTGGTAGGCCCGTCAGCAGACGGTCTCGAAAAAATTGCAAAGCATATCTCAGTTCATCGCTCACGGCATTTTTGAAAGGTTTTGCATAAACATGATCCGACACTGTTCACTAGTACGCCTTCCGTTGCTCAAGTTGTGGGTGACGCGAAGAGATAAAATCTAGATACCCAAAATAAAGAAAAGAAATAGGGAGTACAAAAAACAGTTTTGAATTCCCAAAGACGCTATCCGCAGCATGCATCCTGTTTTACGCGTGGCGACAAATAGTCAACGGACTAAGTACATGTTATGTTATACAGCGGTATAACAAGAAGCACAAAACAGTGATAACAAATGGTTATTACAAATTTTGATCAGGGGGTTTTGGAAACCCAGATCAATTAGAAGAACAACAGTGAGCCAGCGGGAACACAAGAAAGGAAGAAACGGGAAACAGCCCAGCGGGGAGCCCGAAAGAGACCAGGTGACAAAACGCTGGCACCAGGGTGAGGAGGCTGTCAAGGGGACGGTGGTGGGAAAAGGAAAACGAAAGGTAGAGCAGCGGTCTACCAAAACCACAACTTGACCCAAAATGGCAGCCACAAACCGGATCACCCCTGCAAAACCAAAAAACCTAGAAAACACAAGACACAGGTTTTCAGGTTTAAGAAACGGGTTTTGCAAAACACAAGAGGCCGGTTTCTTACTAGTGAACAAAACCGATCAAGCTCGTGTACAGTTCACTAGTACGCCTTCCGTTGCTCAAGTTGTGGGTGACGCGAAGAGATAAAATCTAGATACCCAAAATAAAGAAAAGAAGTAGGGAGTACAAAAAACAGTTTTGAATTCCCAAAGACGCTATCCGCAGCATGCATCCTGTTTTACGCGTGGCGACAAATAGTCAACGGACTAAGTACATGTTATGTTATACAGCGGTATAACAAGAAGCACAAAACAGTGATAACAAATGGTTATCACAAAATTTGATCAGGGGGTTTTGGAAACCCAAATAAAATCGAGAACATCGACCGAAAGGATCAAAACCCCCAAATGCAAATCGATGTGCAACCATGTCAAATGCCACGACTTTTGGACTCAGCGGGACAGCAAAGTGGATGGGATTCGAGCTTGACTAGGTGAAAATTTCGGTATGGCGGAGCAGAGCCATTTCCAGGGAACTTCAATGCGTAGTTCCGGAGTGCAAGAAGGAATGTGCCTACCACGACTCAACGCATCAGCATCGTCATTCCATATACCTGGGATATGCTGGATGGTCACATCAATGTTGTGGATGCGTTGGAAACGGAAAAAGGCCGCCAATATGTGACACATGCCTGCAGAGGTTGACAAAGCTTTCAAATGCGCTGCTTCAGCCGATGTGTTGTCACAAGCAAATGTGACTGCAATGGGGGTTTGACGACCCTTCAACGAGCAATCCAAGCAATACGCTAATGAAAATTGACCAAGAAGTTCCCAAACGTTAATGTGTTTCTGCATCGAGTCAGAAACCCATGGAAAAATTGACTTTGCTTCGGAATGTGAAATTGTGAATGCAAACCAGGCCATCACCGAACCATTCATACGAATAACGCCGCCCAACCCCGCTTCATTCGCAGTTGCGCATGCATCAGCTGAGGCTTGAAGAGGTATATGGTGAGGTGGTACCATGTCATGAAGGAAAGGAGTACCAATGAGGACATCTTTCCAAGCCTGCAGGGCCTCATGCGTGTCAGGCAGCAGTTTGCGTTTGCTGGAGCCAGGTATTTGAATGCCCAGCCATATCCTGCGAGACTTGAAGTGCAATGATTTGGCGTGTTCACGATCACGCAATGTGAAATTGGCCACACGAACGACTTTCACAGACTTGCGCAGGGAAGGGTGGGTCATCGACTTCGACAGACACATATCCTCCTGCAGAATATCAAGAAGTTCAGGCCATTGATGCGGCGAAATGGAAACCAGGGTGAGAGGGACAGTCATCATCGCATGATACAGTGGTCCCAATAAAGGGCGTAGAGTCTCCCATAACGATGAAACCCAAAGTAGTTGCCCTGTAAGTGATTCCAAAACCTTCAAATCACATCGTGATGATCGCAGCAAAGATTCGATTTGAATCAGGATTTTCTCGCGTTTGTCAGGAGTGATCGAAACCACCCATCGACGAACATTGATGTGCCAGCCGATCCATGTCACGGCAGGACCCCAGTCAGTTTTGTGCCAGGACATAGGAATGCTCAAAATTTGACATGCAATGGTAAGTACGCCAATCCAAATGGGAGATGTGGCCGCTTCGAGAAGCACCAACAGATCATCAACATACTGAAAAAGGGCATGTCTGACATGTAATAGGCGATGGAAGGTGCGTACCATCAAACCTGCAACACGTGCCCAAAAATATCCACTGGCCCTGGCACCAAAGTTCAAGGTTTTGCTCTTGAACAGGACATCTTGATACCAAAAGCATAGCAAGCCTTGGTCACGAGGGTCTATTTTAATCCGGCGATGGGCCTTCGAGACATCCAAAGTCAAGGCGATAAGCTCCAAAGAGGAAGATGTCAATGGAGCGGCCTGCAAAACGTCAGAGATTTTGGGCAGCAGCATACGATTTGGGATGGATGTATTGTGTGTGACACCTGAAATGGTTGAGTCGACCACCAATCGTGGCGGTCTATTGTTAGCACAAACCAAGCCAAGCTTGCCGACTGCTGTATGCTCGTGTTCATGTTGAAGCTGTGCAAGGCCTCCAGAAACACGTTCAATAAAACCTGCATCAATCTCATCCTGGAGCAATTGCCAAACCACTTCAGGTTGGTCCAAGGCGCTCTTCCAGGAAGATTCACATTGCAGCAATTCCTGGTCATCCGAAACAGGTGACTGTTGTAGGGGCCACAAAGAGGAAGCTGGGATGTCATTGTTGACTCCCAGTCGTACCCCACTCACAAGTTCATCAAGAAATGCAATGTCAGGATCATTCATCTCTCGCAAAAGAAGTCGCCAGAGGTCCAATCGAAATGGTTGACCAGGAGCAACTTGCAGAGCTTGATCCCAAATCCGGTCAGGAACATCCACAAACTCGCGCACATCCATCAAAAAACCCTGCAGCTGATGGTCAGATAATGGGGGGATCTTTGGACCCCGTTGCAAAATGCGACAAGATATGTGAATGAAGCCCCATGCGGAGGATTCGAGAGGTCCAACGCTTGCGCAAGCCTCCCAACACATCTGGGGCCTGTGGGGAATGCCACACTGCAGTACTAATAAGACCACCCCCGTCCTCAACCCGTTGGGTCAATGGCTGAGCAGTAAAGGTGGAGGGCAAACAGGAGGGCCATGCTCGCAATGTAGCCACCTTCGAATGTCTGGACAGATAGGGCAAAAAGACCTGCGCCAGAGCTTCTGCCAACCTTTTGGGATAGCAAGCTGTAAGCCGACTGTAGAATGAACCATCCGGAAGTCGAAGGCCTGCAAAATTCAAATGTGACTTGGGGTTGTGATCACAGCCCAAACCAATGGCAAGGATGTCCACTTTGTTGGAGCAAAACAGCCAGGACTTCTGCCAGTCCTCCCCAAACCTGCAAGCTGCTGCCGCGGCAAGGTAGGGGGATGTAGCCCTGACCCAAGCACTCATAAGCCCGTCCAGCCATGTCATGCTGGTCAGAGGATTTTCAATGACGACAATGCCACCCTTCGCTGCCACCAAGGTCAAGATGTGCCGTGCCCGATCATGCACTGTGGCTGATTCTTGGACTTGAAGGTCCTGTAGGGCAGTATTCGTTGGCAATCCATCTAAAGCGGCCGGAGTTCGAACAGGTTTGGGGCCGTTAGGGCGAAGAGTCGCCATAGAATGTTTTGAACAGTATGGAGCCGCTAGGGCCGCTCCAATCAGTCCTGATGCTGCCAAATCCAGGACGTTTTGAAAAACCAAATCATCAAGCAAGTCACAATGCTGTCCAAAAATTAAATCCACTGGTTCAATGGAATCTGCATGCAAAGCCCTCACCGCCACTGAGACTGGAGAGGATGCGCCAGAAAAAATATCAAGGAAATAAGCAAATGAATCATGCAAACTGTCCACAACCATAGGCTCGGAGGCTGATGCACCTGGCCAAGCTCCCACAGAAAAATCGCCAGGGGGCGGCTCCAAGGCCACAGTTGAAGATGGCCCTTGGTCCGTTGGTCAGTGTGGAGCACCCTTATGCGACTTGGCAGGATGCTTCTGTGCGCAAGGCGTTCCATCAGCCTTCGGAATGGGGCAAATGTGAAGAAACCTGCACGTGTCCCCACTGCCGCACTTGGAGAACTTCCAACGTATACAAATGCCCTTGCCATTGTGCTTTCTGACCCAACTCTCATTCCAGTCTTTCAGTCGATCATCCTTGCGAACTGGTGGTGGAGTACCCGGCTTTTTCGGGGTGGCCTTGGGTTCCACCTTCTTCGGAGTCGTTGGAGCATGTAGAGAACGAGGTCTGGGCTGCAAGGCTGTCTGCATGTCCTGGCGACAGTAGGCGATTTCAGACATGGTGTCACTCAGGGACCAGCTGTTGTCCCTCATGGCTGAAGTCACTGCCATCCAGACGGCTTTATCTGCTGCCAGAACCTCTTGCAAGTTCGGAGATCGCAATGATGAATCCACAGGTGCAGCCAGAGCCAACTCGTTAAACTTGTGGTGAAATTTCTTGATGACAATCAAATGAACCAACTGCAACATCGCCAGCGCGTTTGCAAGCAAGGTTTGAAATCGCATCAATACTGGTTCGACTGGGCCACCTGACGGGACGCTGGCTTCTGGGAAGTCCATCAGTTCCTGCTGGTTAAGCATGCGTTGAAGTAACTGATGATCTGATCGAGGCTTCCGATTTTCCTGAAACAGCATCTCAGCATGTTCAGAGATACGATGACGCCATGGTGTCCATGTCCAAGTGCCGGCATCCACTTGCTCTTTCAAACTGGCAAGAAACATGAAGCTGGGAGTGGATTCCGGTGTCAACAATTCACCTGGGAAGTCTTCAACAAACTTAAGCTTCAGTTCCTTATGCTCCGACAGAGACAGCTTGGGTTTGGCTGCTGTTGCAAGGTTGGGTTCACATGGAATGCCACCTTTCGCCTGGCACGCTTCGTAGCATTGGCGGATAGCTCGTCTCAAACTAGCCGCACCTGGCGATAAGAGGTCAATCTGCTCCCCTAGATCATGTGGAGTGAGCTTTTCAATCATTTCATCCACGTGTCCATCACTGGGGACTGCAAAACCAAGCAAAGCTACAGAACGGTAGCCTAAAAGATTCAAGTTGGCAACAGTGGGTGCTGGAACTGCACAATTTTCCAATAGCTTCTTCAAAGCAGCGGGATCGTCCAGTGCAAGCTGTGCCATGGTGAGAATCTCGCAAATGAAACAAACCAAACAGGAAAAAACGGCAACTGAAAATTCCAAATGGTTGGCATGAAAGAAAATGCTGACAAAATTGAAATGCTGAAAACTGTTGCGACATGCAAATGTGTCCCCTGTGCTGAGAGCCCAACACGCAAGGTCCACTGATTGAAATATGGTGGATTGCCATCATCAAAATGCAAGTGAGAAATTCGAAAATGAATGCAAACAAGATCACAATGTGAGGCATGTCACTGCGGTGTTGGCATGCCACATGTTCCGCAGGATTTATCCTGCTCCATTAAGGCTGCCAGCGGGCAACACCTTTTTGTCGCAATGGCAAGAGCAAGTGAGGGCTCTGCATGAATGCTAAAAAATTCACAAATGCCACATATGGTGGGGGCATCTGGTGCAGCCAATGCTATCAACATAAAAGGACGACCTATGGGTCCTTCAGCTGCGACACCCTTGTAATGTGCACGCCCACAAGGTCATGCAAATCACGTGTGCCATCAGCGGCATGGCGGATGGTGCCCCAGACCTCGAGGTTCCCACTCCGAGCAAGCTCTGCGGCAAAGTCATCGAAAAGCATAGCTGCGGCATGCAGCTCCGACTGCCATAGAGCCGCCGTGTCTGGAGACAGGCCAGCAATGCTGTCCAACACAGCCCGTGATGGTTGTCTATAGTCCCATGAGCGATAGCAAATGCTTTCGAGTTGGGCTACTTCTGACTGAAGCCCCACAATCGTTCGAGCCAGCACCCATGCCATCTTTGGCATCCAGGACCACGAACCATGGACTGAGAGGAGCTGACATGCACGATTCAGCGCTTCTTTCGCATTCTCGCAGCGAATCAAAGCTCCATCCCCTCTCGGGGCCAGCCAGACCATCATCAAGGCGACCGCCTGGGCAATCATGCCAGTTGTGCGGTTGTTGAATGTCAGCACAGGACTAGGAGGCATTGCGATCCAAGAGCAAAATGGAAAATGCCAAGTAACCCTGCACGAAATGCGAGTGTCCAAAAATTGATGAAACGTTTATAAATTGAAATTCAAGTCAATGACATGCGGAAATCAAAATGGGGTGTCTCGAATCTGGAGCCAAATCAAGATGCAGTGCTCACCATGCTGAGTCAAATGGACATCCCGTGAGTTGAGCTGCATGGACATCACAGCGGTGATGACACTGAAACACATGCTGCGGCATCAGTGTTAAGTAAACACCCCACACCCAATGATGAAAAAAAAGAAACGCAATTAAAAATCACTGCAGCTGCGGCTGTTTTTTCCCTTCAGGCAACATGTGACATGATCTTGGCACATGCCCGTCGCAGGCATAATCTGGCTCCAACCGGCAAGCAATGGGTGAATTGTAAGTCACCTGAAATTGCATTGGGGCGTGCCCCGCATCCAGTTCTGTAGGCCTGCAAAGTGGTGTCTTCATAGCACCGTGCCCGGTCCAAGCTGTCACATTGGATCGCCAGATGGGCAACCTTCGTAATCGGGTTCACCAAGAACACCATTTCTTCTGGGGCCTCAGCAAGTTTCTCAGCAATTTTGAGAGGAACCTCGTCTTCCATGGCTGACTCTTCGGATGCTTCAGAGTCCTCCGCATCAGATGGTGCCTGTGGATCATCAGGTTCCTTGGCACGCTCTGGCATCTGGTCAGTCACAGCTGGCTGAGGTACCACTTGAAAAGGTAAAGGCTGCCAGGGAGGCAAAGAAATCGCAAAATCGGGAAGTGAAGGAGCACCTCCATGCAACATCGGCCTAAGTGGCCTGAAGCCTTCTGCAATTCGTTGGGCAATGGTGCCCTGAAGTACAAGCGCTGGTAGGGTGTCATCCCTACTATACAATGAAACAGAGCCATGAATCGAACTCCTGTGGTGGCCCTGGAGTTGTCTTTGCTCCCAGGGCAATTGCAGTTGTTGGGCCCAGCAAAGCAATGTCGTTTTACAGGAATGTGTTCCCAAAAGGTGAAAATCAGAGGGCTGGGCAGGTACCTGGTGAGCTTCATGGCACTTGCACAGCCAATAGCGCAGTAACTGCAAACCTCTGTCACGTGGCATTGGGCGAAGGAAAACTGGTTTCATCAGGTCTGGGCCCACTTCTCTCAGCAGGAAGTCCACTTTGAATGTGGGGAAGCGCTGCTGGGTGTCATGCAATGCCTGTTGAACCACATTGAGCCACACCTGTGCCCATGCCACCTGACCATGACGTCCCAGAAGTCCAAAAGCAAAACATGCAATAGGCATACCCCTGTTTGTCGTCTTGGTGTGGGACGCCAAAGCAAACATGGCATGCTGTTGTATCGTAAGCGTCTGGGGGTCCACCCACAAGGCATCCGACCAACGCAAGCTGCTCCAAATCAAGAAGAGCAAGGACCCCAGCTGTAACACATCGCATGCAGAGGTGGTTTTGGCAAGTACCATCTTTTCAAGAAAAACCACAAACGACAATGGAAGAGGAGCCGACTCACGCTTCTCCCTGATGATGGCCGAGTGCAGATAGGCCTTGCACACGGATTGCTGCAGGGCCTGAAACAAGTCATCCAGTTGTGCATATCTGGCCATCCATGTCAATCCCTTATGGTATGCAGTGGCAACACCTAAAGGTCCATGTGCATGCTCTGCCAAGAAATCTGCCAGGATCGCGGCATTCGGCTGAAATGGGCACACTGTCAACTGTCGTGCAAAATCATGCCACCGTTTCCAAATGCGAAAATAAGATTGCAGAGTGGTTGGAGCAAACTTGGATAGCACACGAAGTCTGTGTTCATCCACATGGTTGGAGATGGCAGTTGATTGCACCAAACCACTAGCACGTCCCATTTCTTGTAAAATGTCAAGCCACTGTTGGTTGAGCGCAAGCTTAGCCTCTGACCATGCCTGTTGCATTGATGGCACAGGTCCCTGTTGTAGCTGGGTCGACAATGGGGTCCGCACCACTGGCATGTCTGAGCACATCACCCTAGAGGAAAAGGTCACTGGAGATACCGACTTCTGAGGTTGAACTGCCAAATGAACATTGGATTCCAATGAAGCCCTTGACTTACAAACCGCATGAGGTGGTCTCCATAACGCTGCTGCATTTTGAAAAACAGGTGCAGCAAAAGAACGAGTACGTGTCTGAGGAGGCAACCATGGTGACACACTCGAAGCTCCCAACCATGTAGCCCTCCTGCCAGCCGTACCCAATGGGTCTGAAGATCCTCCAGGTTGATAATTGAAATTATATGTACCCAAACCAGTCCAACGAGGTTGAAAGTCAACGTCCGGGTTAGTGTCTGAACCAAACAGGTCAACAGGTGCAATTGAGCTCATGGCATCATGTTCTGACCAAAACGTCACCTCATGAGATGCAGCATCCTGAGTAACAAGCTCAAATGACCCTGATGACGAACAAGGAATTGGCTCAGCTGCATGTGGTGTTGCAGGTGCAGTAGGAACATTTCGTCGAAACCTTTTGACCACACACACCGGTGCTTCAGCAGGAATCATGCCAATGAAACTGCACAAGAAACCCGTCTTCCAAAACATGCCACAGAAATCAAATCAGGTTGCAAAATTGGAGAAGTAAACCACTCATCCCAAAACCTGTTGATCCATGGCCCAAAAGAAAAAGGAAAACGAAAGGTAGAGCAGCGGTCTACCAAAACCACAACTTGACCCAAAATGGCAGCCACAAACCGGATCACCCCTGCAAAACCAAAAAACCTAGAAAACACAAGACACAGGTTTTCAGGTTTAAGAAACGGGTTTTGCAAAACACAAGAGGCCGGTTTCTTACTAGTGAACAAAACCGATCAAGCTCGTGTACAGCTTGTAAAACATATTTGCCTGCCAGACCAAATATCTGGCCATGTGCAAACGTCAGCTTACCATTCAAGACTTGGCCCTCCTTGTACTGCAGGGTGCCCAGGTTCACAACACTGGTGATTAGCTCAACCAAGTCTTTTTTGCGCTTCTCGGTGTTCATAACTTTGATCTCCCCAGCAATGGTCTCGGCCAGGGAAATTGAGACACCCAAAGACGCCACCACTTCAGAAAAAGTGTCAGCCTTCGGCCCTTCTTTATCATATGCCCACCCCAACATCTCGAAAAGCAAGCTCATGGCCGACTCACTGCTGCTCTGTAGTTGAGGGGTGGCAATGACCACAAAATCGTCATAGTAACATGTTGTAGGTAGAAGCAAACACTTACAAGCAAGCCACTGTATGCATCTGGAGCATCGTATGAAAGCATTCACCGCTGCCTTTGACCCAAATGGCAAGCAAACTTGCGAGAAGACCTCATTGGCCCGCTTGCGCGGATTGTAGACACATATGTATGAAAATGCCCTTGAGGTCGGAGCCACACATAACTGCCGATAGGCTGCTGCTAAGTCAAAGGAGCGAGCTTTCAACTCCGTGCTCCGTCCAACACTGCTCAGCCCAGTCATAAGCTGCAACATCATAGCACAAATTACATCCACGTTGTCAGCTGTAGCCTGGTCCTTGACCGTAACTGTTGCATTAACTGAGCTCATACTGTAATCATCTATAGGACGAAGCTTCTCACCCTGCTGCAAGGCAAAGCGCCTTGAGACAACTGCATTTGGCTCCAGCGAATCCCAGGGTAGGGGGCCAAGAAGCCAGCCCCTCTCGACCTCATCAAGGGTTTTTTGGTAAAGCATCTCATCCAAATTTGGATCACCGCAAGACGCGCTAGCAGTCCTCATGGCAACACGAGCCCTGCCAGCGTTAGGGGCAAGCTCACCCACCGCCATCGTAGCAGGAACAAGTTTCGCTGGCAGCATCCCGCCAGCAGTCGGCAGCTCACCCACCAAGTCAAAGCCACGCTTGAGATCTTGCACCAGGCCAACGTCAGGATACTCCTCGTCCTGCAGGATACGCTCCAATAAAGCAATGCGCTTTGCAGACATGATGCTCCTCATGGGGCCAGGCATGTCTTGTAAGATGGCGGCTTCTTCTTCTTTCAAAGCTGCAGCCATTGGCAGGTACTTGCCAAACCATTTGCATCTGTGAATGACAATATCATGATAAGACCAGTGTACGTTGGCATCAACCGCAACCTGCATAACATCCGAAATCCCTGACATGAGGTGTTGAGGGTGTCCCGCATGTGCTACTTGTTCCAAGAAAAACTCAGGTGACCAAAAACGTCCAAAAATAACTTCATCCGATTCCATCTCTTTGTCACATTTCACTTGCAGGACCCCTGCACATTGGTTGCAGTCCTTGTCAGTTTTGTCCTCTGTTGCCGTCATGCCATCACCCAAACTTTGTGTAACATTCGCCTGCAGCAAGTCCAAGGCAACAGTACTGTCGCCGCAACTGGTACACCCCTTTTGAGGAGTGCGGCGAAGCATACGAGTCTGGCATGGAATGAAAATTTCACCATTGTCACATAGAAAATTGTGGCATTGCATTGTATTACACTTTGAATCCAAAGGAATATCGACAGCCCTGGGCACATGACGTACTTGTAGCACCTTTTGAAATTCAGGCACAAGCTGTGGCATACGTTTTGGCTGTTGATTCGTAGCCACTGCAGCCGACCGTGCCAGTTTCACACGCTTGGCAAGGTCTAAAGAACCCCACTGATGGAGTTTCTGTAAATGCTCTGCCACACCACGCACCAAAACCTCACAAAAATTCTTTGGATACTCAGCTTCCAAAGCAGTGTCAAATTGACCATCACGAAACTCATAAGGTGCATGCTCATGTAAACCATCACATTGAATTGCATAAGAACCCAGGTTCTCACAGTTGGTGGCGATGCCAGTACGCTTCAGTCGTTTGCCACCAAACATACACATATCAAACTGAAAAAACAAAACCTGAGTCTGCTCCTGGATTTGCTGGAAATATGAGGTTTGCCAAAGCCAGCTTCGCAACGGATTCTCAATGGTCCAAACTGTAGTGGAAGGCAAGCTCAAAATGAGCTTTTGCATGAAGTGATACAACCTGTTGGCCGCCCTGAGTCGGTCACGCGAATTCTGACTCAGCAAATGTGGAGGTAGTCCATCTGGGAAGTGCTTTGACCGCATCGGTCGTGGCCCAAAATGTGTCTTTGACATCCTACGCTCCCGTGCACGAGAAGCTGTACCGCATGGGATCCCAAAATGGACCCAAACGCATCTCGGGTCTGACACCCATTGCATGACCATCTCTTGAACTTCAGGTTTCTGAAGATCCAAGCAAATCACCTGACTTTTGGGATGCTTCACTTTGTGATCAATTCCAAAACTATCAGGGAGAAGTGTCCTGATGCACGCAGTGAGGCCAGCTGTACCGCAAAACAGTTCAATACCGAAGCAGCCTTCCAGAGGTATCTCGACAGGATTGTGCGTTGCTCCATCATTAGCTGGCATCTTAGGCACATTGTTTGTCGTAGAGCATTGCACAAAGTCCCTTTTGGATCCTCTGCCAGCCTGTTTTCATTGGCCCTCATGTTCCGTCTGAGGGTGGTTCTTGTAGCACCCTGGCATACAACACACATGTTCACGAGGACATTTCTTATCCTTGCACTTGCCCAGATTGAAGTTGAAACAGATTGCTTTTCCCGAAGGCGTCTTGTGATGCATCCCATGAAGCTGATGTGGCATCGGCTGCCTCTTGTTCTTGCCTCCCCCTTTGCCCTTGGAGCTAGGGGCACCTCCAGTCTTCTTACCCCCGGGCGTTTTCTTGATTGGGGGAGTCTTTGTACCGGCTGCATTCGAAGTCTTATCATCATCACGGTGGCGTCCCAAGGGCACCGGCAGCATATGATATGTCACCGTGACATCATTGTGCAACTGGTCAAAAGCCAAATCAAGTGGTAAAACTCCAGCTGCATTGATGTGGTAAGGCGGGGACACTGTTTCTGCCAGCCTCATGAAAGCCTGTCTGTCAGCACGCAAAAGTTGCGCATGCCCTGGACGGCCAAACCCAGGAGCAGGTGACTGGGTCAACAGCGCAAACAATCGGTTCACAAACTTCATAACTGTATTGAAAGATGCCATGCCCACCAAATCCATAGCTAATGCACGACGTGTCATAGCTTGCAACAGACTGAGGTCACTGGTGATGTCTGTCTCTTGATCATGTGGTTTGTCCTTTACCACCAGGCTGCCGCGCGTCTCGTCAAGCTTGATCTGCTTGTCCGGCTTGTCACCTGAAAGTTCCTGTTGACGCGTCATGCATTTGCCTGGAGATATGTATTTCATCTCACCAGTCTCAAGCATGGCTGAAAACTGATCATACAGCCAATGACTTGGTTCCATGGGCCCAGACAATTCCAAACCTTGAAGTCGCTGACGCTGGGCTTCAATTCTAGCAGATCGCTCAGCAGGTGCTACCCTACGTGTGCTGGCATCATCAGGTGAGTGCACAGTTGAACGTAGGCTTGCAATGGTCAAAGTCTGTGCTTCAAACAACACAGGCTTCACAGCTGTTATCTCACTGAGTGTAGGGCCCACACCAAGACGCAAATGATTCATGAACTCTGTCACTTGTTCAGTTGTAGGAGCAACACCAGGCGTTGTCACTGCATATGCCAAACGCCCTAACTTGTTGAGATCATTCCTGCCAAACGCTTCAATCCACTGCTCATTGAGGCCAGCACGCTTAGCTTGCGACTCAAACGCCGCCACCGATTCAAGCAAGGTGTTGCTAGCCATTCTGACACACGCGATCTAAGAAAGGCAGTAAAAGAAAGTTGTTGGATTCATCAGCACCAAAATTCACATTATTGAAGTTGAACATGCAGCGAGAAAAATTAAGACAGTGAAAGCATCTCAAAAATCATGTCGTGCAAAATGAATGACATCGTGTTGTGATAATGCTGAGGCTTGACACATATGTGCGCATTCGCACTTCGAGCTGTGGCCATAACTCTGCAATGAGATACAAACATGTGTTCTCACATGACTCCAAAAAATGAGTCCATCTCACCGTGCATTCACGGCACATCTGACATCATGTCGGTTGAGCATTCTCAAGAAACATCTGATCACTCACAAATTCAACTGTCATTTCAGTGTTCTTTCTGAGAGCTGCCACGCACATTTTCCAAGCCACAGCTGAGATACAAACCAGTTCCTGCTGTTACGCAGGGTCCCTATGTCTGTCGACAGGGTGCACAAATGAAAGGAATGAAACAACATGCATGAAATCAAAGGTCAGAAAATGCAAATGAAATTTCACTTCTGAGCACGTCGCTTGGCATGAACAGCTTCCAATGCATCGGCAAGGTCCTGAACCTTGGTGATGACCTCGCCCTTGAAACAGATTGCACACCGTGCCCATTTGAAAGATGCCCCATTTTCCAAGTAGTTGTAGCTACTGCCAACCTTCCTGCCACACGCCATCAAGCCAGACACTTCGTTGGGCCTGTGTAAGACCCGGCTCTTTTTGTGCTGGTACACCGGCTCCTCACAGTCCTTGGTCTCACCAGCAGCACCGTATTTCTGTTGCAACGGTTCTTCACACGCAGAGGAGCTTGATGAAGTCGAGCTCGATTCATCTGATGACTCTTGAGCTTGCGCAGCCCGATCATCCTCTGCCTCACTGCCAGGTGCACCAAAAAGGTCCCAATCGGGCTCTGTAAGATCCACAACACCGCAAACATTGTCAATACAATGTTGGTCCTCAGATCCAAAAGCACTGGGGGGGGCCTCTACCTTCACGCGGGTCCTTGGAGGAGCATCTGAAGCAGAAGCTGCATCATCTGGCTTGCGCCTCACAAACCGGCCAGACCTTGTCTCATCTGGAAGAAAATGACCAGTTCTGATGTTCATCAGCATAGCCTCATACAACGCCAGGGGCCTACTGAGCATGTCACGGGAGTAGCAGGCCAAGCTTTGAGACTGCAACTCATGATGACCCAGCAACGTCCTTGCAGATTCATCCAAACCATACTTTGCGCTCCAAGTGAGCGTTGTGGCCTTCATGCAGTGGCTTGTAACCACATTCTCACCATGCAGCCCCAACATATGGTTGAGGAAATCGCCAATCTCTTCAGACGACAAATGTCGAGTGCCCAATGTGCCATTCATGGGAGGTCTGCACATAGCTCCCACTGGTTCTGCCGCTAGGTCAAACTGAACCTGATCCAAAATGTGAAACCACTCAACTGCCCAGAGTTTGTCTGTCACCCCACAAATAGGTGCCACCAGCGGCATCTGCATCGCCCGCTTCAAGGCCGTGGAGCCAGTCTTCTGAAATCTTGTTGAGCCTTCCACAAAACAAATTCGGCCCAGCTCTGTTTCTGTCGTATCCAAAGCCAGGTCACTTAGGAATGCCAAATCCGACCATCTTGACCGGCTGTAAATTGCAAAAAGGACACAACCAGCAATGTACCTGTCGAAAACGTTCATGTCAGACATCATGAACTCCTCTATGAATTTAACCTCAGCAAGAGTCAGCGGTCGGCTCTGCTTGATTGTGTCCCTTGCGGCATCCATGCGCCTCACTCTACCTGACAGCACAGGATCATCAATGATCTCATCCAGATCTGGCAGCCTCATGACATGCTTGCAAAAACGGAAGGCTTCCATCAGTGTTTTGCCCTTGTTGCTGCCAGCGCCACCCACGTTTGATTCATTCAAGTAAGCTGCAACATAATCAGATCTGACTGGCCACACACTGAGATTCTTCTTGTCCAACCATGCAAAGAGTGCTAACATGGTTGATGCCCGTTTGTTTGCAGTGCGCGGCGATTTGTTGCCAAACACATCCCTGAGGATACTTCCATAGTCCTTTCCATCGCTCACTGCATCCCTGACTGCCGCACCAACTAAACCTGTATAGCAAGCACACGCCAAAACAGTGTGCCATTTTTTCAGTGCTTTCGCCCATGACTCATCTATGGCTGTGAGATGATCCACATCACGTTTCAACTTGACAACCTGTGAAAAAATGCAGTCAGTGCGGTCACGCTTCAGAATCTTACTTGAGACACCTGTCAAAGCATCAACACTTGACTCAGTTGGTTGTGCATCCTCGAGGTCAGGAGGCAAAGGACATGAAGCCAAATTGGATGCCAGAAAATCTTCATTGCTTCCAAAAATTGTTGCAAAAACACCGGATTCCCACGGCAGTGACTGAGTGAGGTTCCGACTGTTGACAAAATGCGCCTCCTGCAAAGCCCGATCAACCTGTTGGCCAATCCATGCCGCACCTTCGTCCACAGGTCCATGCAATGCAGTGTCAACCTGAACATCATGCGACAAATCATCAACATCAGGAATATCAAATCTGTCAGTAGGGTGTTGAACATCTGTATGCGTACGGCTCCAAACTGTCAAAGAATCAACCAGACTGTCATTGTTTGCATTTGCAGTTGCAACACGTCTGTTTGCATTCACCGCTGAAACAGGTTCAGATGTATCTGCTCCAGCTCCATACAGTTCAACGTCCTTGATCACCACGTCGAAAAAATCGGCCATACGCAAACCCCTACTCAGCAAATTTCAAACATGGCGTCCTAAAAAACGCGAAACCCACCCACCCACCTCTTGAACATAAACTGTGGGAAAACATAAAAGTCATTGACATGTACCCAAGATAAGTGTTGACAAGAAAGCACAGCAGTCTGAGGAAAAACACATCAAAGAAAAACGTTGCAAGACAAATGTTAACTGTTTGAAATTACAGTGTTGACATTTGAGACCCATACTTCAAGTGACCCCCAGAACCGCATAGCCTGCATTCAGGCAGACGGTTTTTTAGATTTAGGAAATAAAGAGTTATCACCACGTTGGGCGAAAAACCTCTTCAGGAATACGAGATTGAGGGTTGACCCCACATATAGTGGAGTCTAGAACTAATCTAGGAGGGCGGCTGTCGCTCAGAGCTAATCCAAGTTTCCCGACTGCAAGGCCATGCTCGAAGAATGCCTGAGCCTCTTCCATTGTGCCATGGAATTGCGACACCCAGCCTGCCTCTATCTCCTTATCGATGAGTTCCTGGACTGTTTCTGGATCATCCTCTGCAGATTGCCAATTTGTATGATGAATGGAAAGTAAAGGGGGGTCGTATGGAGTATCCGGTGGATTACTGGGGAAACAGTGGGATGATTGAATTTCTTCGTCAATCCCTAACGGAACCCCGGCAATGAGGTAGGGAAATAGGGAAACATCGGGGTCATGCATGACCAAGCATAATTGCTGCAATATATGAAGGCATAATTGTTGATCTGGTGGGATCGACCAATCTGGTTGAATCCCTTGTGCCAACAAAAATTCATCAAGAAATGCACGGAATGGTTGAAGTTGTTCTGCAGAAAATGGAGGCTCAGCCTGCCGATTATTGAATGCACGGAGGATCACCTGATCCAATCGTTGGGACATAATGGTTCGAAAGAAATTCTTACGAAGAGTTTGGAAACAATCTGCAAAATTATGTTGTCCACTCCAATCTGCTTTAGAGGGGAAACCGGCCCCGTCTTGGCGTGCAAATGGGGGTGCTGAAATGGATTTTATCGGAAGGTAAGACTCAAAGGTTGACAACTGGAGTTCACGACCCTGGTCTGACAGCAAAGGCAAAATAATCTGAGCACATTGATTCGCCAACTCTGGGGGATACTCTGCCGTATCACGGCTCAAATAATGACCTGCTGAAGTTCTAACGCCGGCTATTTGCTGATGGCTCCCCCATGGGTGATTACATGAGCAGGCCATACGCACCAATGCCGCAAATGTGCTAGCAAACAACCAAAATTTATGCCAATTGCGACCAAACCCGCAGGCTGACATGGAGATACACGAGCATGCATGTTGTGAAATGAACTGTTGGACAATGGGCTCGCTCCAACTCATGGCTGATTTCGGTTGCTCGAGATGGCCGTGACCCCCTGACGCAACTGTGACCTGTAAACAGTCGATGCACCTGTGCAGCATTGTAGAGCTCTCCTGGACACGCAATAATTCAGGACCTGATAGGCCTGGGATGCCATCTAAATGTTGTGGGGTACGCAATGCAGGGGGCCCATTGGGGAGCAATTTTAACCGGCTATATTCACAACATGATGGTGAAGCAGCAGTATAGGCTACAATGCCTGATGCACACAGTCGTAACAATTGTTCGAATTTATTAGAGTCCAAGAGATCATCCGAAGTATGTACCAGGATGTCAAATTTCATTACATCCCCCTTTAATTTTATGACGGCACTGGAAAGGGGAGGAATTAACTCCACAGCAAATATCAAGAAAGATCCTAATCCCGGGGGAACGTGGAAATTGAATGACATCTACGGTGGGCATCTGAGGTGGAATCGTGTCAACTACACTTGGGTTCACTGGCGGATGCTTGGAGGAATCTGAGCGAATATCGGAGGTATCTTCCCTTTGAGAAGATTCTCTGTGCTTGGAACCAACACCGGCTGGTTGGTTAGCATGCTGAGGTGGAATGATATCACTTAGTGAATCATTATGGGATGATTCCAACATCGAATGCATCGTGGTGAAACTTGCACTGGATTGGTCGGGCAAAATGCCGCTGTCATGCAAATCCAATGTACGATCTGCCATTGAGGTATCTGCTTGACCTGTAGGAAACTGAGCTGTCGATTGTACTGTAAAATCTGGATCTGTCGCGGTCTCATCAATATGTCAGTGTGGAGTCTTGTCATGCATCAAGGCTCCATGGCTCTTATTACATGCTTCACCTGATGGCATGGGATAGGCACATCCATGATGAAACCTGCAAGCACTGCCCATATCGCATTTTCCAGTCTGAAGTCTCATGCACAATTGTTTCTTGGTGCCACCAGCTGATACCTCTGTAATCAAATTGACCTTGCCGCCAGTTTTGCCGGCAGATTTGCCTGACGATTTGCCTGCTTTACCCTTTCCATATGGAGATGGACGGTTGGTTTTACCACCACCCTTCTGTGATCCAGCTTCGATACGCTGAAATGTCTGACGTGGAAGTCGAGGTCGAGCCTGAAGCAATGTATTGATCTCCGCCCGGATGAAGGTCACCTCATGGATGGCGTCGTCAAAAGACCACTGTTTCTCCATCACTAAATCACAAGCAATTGTCATCAATGTCTTGTCGGCGCTCTGAGCCTCCAATATCGTCGGGTTTCGGAGACCCGTCTCAGAGTCCAACTTGGTGGTCATCAAATTGATGAATCGAAGATAATAATTCTTCATGGTAGCCAAGTGTGCAAGATCCACCATTGCCATAGCATAGCTGAATGTCTCAAACGTCTGACGTAAAGCATGCATACCCATGGAACCATTCTCGATTGTCAATTCCGGTGGAGTATCAACCAGCAAGGCATGAAGCTGAATGCCTTCGGATTTCGCAAGTCTCGATGGCTTAGAGGAGCTTAGCTCGTCTGCTTTGGCCTGACTCAAACGATATTTCCACGGAACCCAGCGAAATTCCAGTTTGGTTTTTTGATGGTGCACTAGACTTAGCAGTCTCAGGCTCGGAGTGGTCTCCGGCAATAAGATCTCCGCCGGGTAATTCTTCTTAAATCGCTGCTTCATCTCCGAAACCACTTGGGCTGTTAACTTCGGAGGGAACGTCTCTGACCAGCTGGCATGTGCTGGACCTGCTTCATTCGGGCTCGGATTGGATGGCAGTGACGGTTGAGGAGCACCTGATTGGGATGACTGACAACGCGTCCAAGCTAATCGAATTGCCGATCGCTGGACGGCTGTGGTGATATCAAACAAATCACCCAGCATCGACTTCAACTCTTCGTCAAAACGGTCTAGGTTGGGAGCAGCCATCGCAAACAGTTCGATGGTCCAACCATCTTCAGCTAACTTGTCAATGAAGGTGTCCTGAACGCCTGCATTTTGTAACAATTCTTGCAGTGAAGCCATGTGAGGTCCCACCGCAGAATGGACGCAACGCAGTGCTTGAATGACCAAAGAAAAAAATATGGATCTACTGAAAATTTACATGGGTCTGCATCCAAATGCTAATGCATACGTTGGGAGCCCCATTTTTTTTTTGAAATTGTTTTTTTGAACTGGAGCCATCGGATACAATCATGAATCCTTGTTCCAACGCACCGAAAATGCAAAAGATATCTGTGAGCATGTTTGCACCGTGATTTGCCATGCCTATCAAATGACGGCCACGCACACCCCCTCAAGGTGAAAATAAGGACATCCATCCGTGCACATGCAGCAATTCACGATTGCCGTTGATGCAACGCGACCAAACAAAATTTTGAGTGAAGTACGCCAGCCATAACCACCCCCAAGTTGGCATGTATAAATCTGGTCAGGCATTAGAATTCTATATATAAAACGTTATAGACATATATCAACCCGATCCCCCAGTCATATTGGTGGTTTCCACAAGTACTGCAATTCTTTTGCTGCACCACTGAACGCAAATTCAACTATGCAATCCAATGCTAACGAACCCTTTGCGACAGCCAACATGGCTGCACAACGCTTGATTTGCACCAAGGTTGAGCTCCAAACCTGGATGCACCGTGACTTGGGAAAGGTAACGGCCACATGCCGTTTTTAACGCCTGATTTTGCCACATTGGTAAAGACGCTTTTTCAATTGGGGATGGAACCATGATATGCCATGTCCGGCGATGCAAGCCGATCAACGCTTCTTCTGATGGGCCTAACTGGTCAATGGCTGCCACTTTGGACTTCTTGGATTGAGGAGGTTGGTCTGTCTCCTCCGAACTGCTGGAACTGGACGATGACGATGATTCGTCACTGGAATCTGAAACCATGGCTACATCATCTGCTGGCACATCGCTGGAATCAGCTAGAAACTGAAGACTGGATGCAGCCGAAAAATTGAAGAAACGCCATTCCAGTGAATCTACATCTTTTTTGAACTTCTCCAATTTGAAAGTTGGTTCAGCTAACGGAACCTGGCCGCCCCGACTGAGCGGAGTCACTGGTCTCCATCCTTGAGAGATCTGCTCAATCAGAGCTAACTGCACACGAATGCTTCCCTCTACAAACTTCACTAGCATGCATCACAAACCAGGAACATACTAATAGGTGAATAAACCTGACTCCTGCCCAACCACCAGAGCACTAATCCTTTTTCATGGATTGGCTTGATCACACACAGGTGGAGCAGCTGCTGGGCAGCAGCAGCTCCACCACACCAGCCCCGCAGGGCCATGAGCACTTGGGCTCAATCCCAAACATAGGCAAAAAATCTTTCAGTGCCCATGTTACAGCTTGCACCATCAGCAAGCAACTTCATAAACACCTGACAAAAAATTGCCTGTCACAAAATCAAGGCCAGGGGGCCTAATCCAAACTTGCCCCAAACAGGTGGCAATGTGGAGGGTAACAACCCGTGAACCAATGCAGGGAGGGGTGGGGTGGAAAAGAGAAAACAACAAACAGGCAAGCGGGTTGGAAAGCACTACCTCTCAGGGAAAGGAGAGATGAACAACTACTAGCCCAACCAGGCTTGCCACTAGCTGCAAAGCATGTTCAGCCAACTCATGAAGCAACAACAGGGTAAATCCCGACAAACCAACAAGGTATGCAAGGTGAAGTTAGAGAGAGTGGTGTTCATGTGTGCAAGCCCACATGAAAACAGCACCTCTACAAACTTCACTAGCATGCATCACAAACCAGGAACATACTAATAGGTGAATAAACCTGACTCCTGCCCAACCACCAGAGCACTAATCCTTTTTCATGGATTGGCTTGATCACACACAGGTGGAGCAGCTGCTGGGCAGCAGCAGCTCCACCACACCAGCCCCAACAACGGTGTTGATCAAGCAGGGCACTAAAGTCTCACAACTTCCCACACGCAGTGCGCCCGGCGCCATTCCAAGGCTTTTCAAGAATGGAACACACATCAAACTCCATTCTATTAGCTGCGTTGAAATTTTCATAGCAGCCACGACTCAGGGCATCAGCCCACTCATTGCGAACACCCGCACAATGCTGCGATGACAAAGATACACCATGCTGACAGCAATAAAACCCAATCGCTTGCAGCACATAGCACATGGGTGCCTTCATGGTCAACTGTTTGCGAGTCAATGCCACCACGCCATTATTGTCACACAGTTGTTACAAAACCACTGTCGCATTTCCTGGATGTGTGAAATGCCGAAGTCGCCCCAGCAAAAGCAGCAGCTGTGCCAAAGCTTCAAAAGATGTAATGAATGACTGCAAATTTTCGGACTGTAACCATGCTGGAAGATCTTTGGCGCGAAACTGAATACTAAACCACAAAACAGTTTGTGGGGATGGAGCCACGTGAGAGGGGCACCACCATCCTCCTACACCGCAAGATGAAGAATCAGCAAATGCATCAGCAGCGCCGAAGCCATGTTCCACCTGAGTGCAACGCAGGGGAAGCGGTTTTTGCACGGAAACAGCATTGAAAAACAAAGTGGCCGCATCAATCGAGATCTTGTTGGTTCGCACCTTGGCACTGCTATAGTCATAGAAAACGCAATCAATTGCACCACGTTTCAAACGCGGAGTCTGAAGCGGGACATCGCTCAGCGCACGCACAGCACAGTTACTTACTGAATGTAACTTCCAACCCTGCTGTAAGTCCCACTGCGAAAAGCTATGCTTCAAACGTAGATTGGGGTCCAGTGAGCCACGCATGCATTCAAATTGCGCGGGCAACAAGGCACGAAATACACACAAGGGTTTGAACAATAAGTTATATAAGCATTGCAGCCACGGCTTCAGCCACGAAGCACCCCCGCAATACCAGAGCAAAAGGCCGATAGCTTGCTCCACCAGCTTACGTTCAACCCGCCGGTTCTCTACCATGAGACAAAAAAGCAACTGCTGCAACTTCTGCTTCTTCGCGTTAGGCAAACAAACTGTAGCATTGGAAAAATGGAAATCCCACCCAATCCAGGAAATAGCAGTGCCCAGTTGCAATTTTTCCCAACTGATCGGCATACCGATCGACAGCAAGAACATCAATGAAGTAGTTGCAACCAGCGGCGCCACATCAGCGGGAAGCAAAAGGAGGCCATGCGTGTGGTATCCAAACCCAGCGATGCAAGAGTCGCACAAGAAATGAAGAAGCACGCGAGAACCAGTAAGCCGCCCAGCGACAGCCAAAAAAACAGGTTCGGTAGGTATACCATTCTCCATCCAAAACAAAAGTGCTATACCCTTGTTCTGCAGGTCGTACACGAATTAGCTTGTGGGCTCCACGAATATCAAAGGAAAAGGCAGAAAAAAGTTTGTCAAGCGGCGTTGCGCTAGCAACTCTTTGCACGCAGCTCAAAGTGGGCAAGCGAATCTTTTCCAGAATCACGCAGCGCGAATTTGCACCAGAAACCGTGGCATCGCCAATCAACCGTGGTTTCTTGCCCGGGATTTTCACCAAGCCCAATTTACCTGCAGCAATCTTGTCCCCCCAGCGTTCCTTCGCTTCCGCTTCACCTCCACGTAAATGCATGAGACAACCAGCGTCAATATCCTTTTGAAGCAACTGTTTTGCCAGGGGTAAATCTTCAGCTGCCGAGCGCCAAGGCTCAAGGTGAACCAAAAGATCACAAGGAACCAGCTCAGGCTCAGGTGCCATTCCATCAAAATCTACTGCATCCCAGACACCAGAAGGTGAAATCGGGGATTCGATGCCTGTAGGAACCCCTTCTGAAAGAATGTTGGGAAGATGTGGATCAACATCAACAGTCATCTTGGCCAAAGCTTGCCAAACGGAAAGCAGAAAAGGCTGATTGGGTTCGACATCACCGTTGCAAGAAAAACCATGGTTACGCAAAAAACCAACAATCTCTTCACGCAAGTGTAACACTTCTTCAGCAGAAAGCAGCTCAGCATCCGTGGGGTTAGAGACGTGCGCCATCAGGCGGGGAACTAGACGCCATTCCATAGCCAAAGATTCAAACCTGCGGCGAAGATCACGAAATAAATCGTCCTTGACCCGCGGCTGGAACCAATCAGCCGTAGAGCAGATTCCCCCTCCGTCTGGGACGGGCACCCCACAGTAATCTAACTCCGACCTTGTCATCACCTCTGCTTCTGCAGGCGGCTGCCGATGACACACAGATGGATTGTCACCTGACGACCAAATGGCTGCGGAAGCATCAAACTCTGCCACTTGGGGCTCCTTTGATAGTCATTCAGCGTGCTCAAATCGGCAATTTTCACCAAAGCTGCATTTGCCAGACTTCTTGAATGCAAAGCATACCTTTTTTGCACGGGGCGCCTCCAGCCCTGGAGTATGCGCGTTTTTGATCTTCGCAGATTTCCCAGCAGGTTGTGGCAACGGCCGCTTCCCTTTCTTATTGTACAAATCGGATTGCGGCAGCAGTTTTGGCCTCGGCTGCAACCAAATGTGAAGACAATTTCGCACGGCAACTAGTTCATGTAGGGCTTGATCTAAGCTGAAGCCAGCGCCCAGCAGCGCATTCAATTGGCGACAGATCTCCCCATCTGCCGCTTCAGCTTCAACCAAGGAGGGACCCCGCAGGCCCACTGCATGCAAGCCATGAGCACCATACAGTTCCATGAAAGCGTGAACTAGGCGACGAGCTCCTCCTAAATGACACCATCCTATCAAGACCGCACGCAACATCAACAGGCGTTGAACCCCAAACGGCGAAGGAGATGGCTCTTGCTCGGGTGGGTCAGCGTGCCCTGCCGCATCCGCCAGAAGGTCTAAAAAGGAACGATCTCGCTTGGTAGAACCTTGCTTGACTCGGTCTGCTTGGGCTTCACTCAAGATCCTTTTCCAAGGAATGTATTTCAACTCTTGTTGACATTTTTGCGCATAAACCATTTGCACCAATGCTTTCCCGGGGCGAGCATCGCCCTCTACTACCTCTGCCGGGTATTTCTTTGCAAATTCAGACCAAAGCTGTTGTAACACATCACCGGACAACCGAGGCCCTACATCCATGCCAAGAAGTGAAGGGGCCATCTTTTCAGCTGGCGTTGGTGGGCCAGGCTGCGGGGCTTCGCACACAAGCTTGCATTCTGACAACAGACGACGCAATCGTCCAGCTTCTACACACTGAAGTTTCGAGGGGGCCGATGAAAGATCAATTCCAGCCGCATCGAGAATTGCTTCAATGGTATCATCCGCCCCATCTTTGAGTGCCCAATAGAACTCAGCAGGGCTCTTGAAACCCAAAGGCTCCAACGCAGCACAGACTTTCTCTGCTAGCTTGACTTTGGCGCATAAAGCTGCGACAAAGCAAATGTTTCTCCAGCTCAGGCGTTTGCTGACCGTCCAACCCCAACACCAGAATGAAATGCGGAAAAGTTCAGGTTTGGAAAAAATTGCAACCACACCGAACCACTTCATGCACCATAATTCCAACAACAGGGATACCCTCGACCCCCTACCAACAACACAAAGGGACACACGGTCTCCAACAAATACTTGTAATTTTATCAATACACAACAAAACAAGGGACACACAGTCCCAAGGAGCACTTGAAGCTCCACCAACAAAAAAACAGGGACCCACGGTCCCAAGGAGCACCTGCGGCTCCACCAACAGGGGCACACACGGCCCCACCAACAAAACTGGGACACACAATCCCAAGGAGCACCTGAGGCTCCACCAACAGGGACACTCTCGGCCCCACCGACAAAACAGGGACACACAGTCCCAAGGAGCACCTGACGCTCCACCAACAGGGACACTCTCGGCCCCACCAACAAAACAGGGACACATAGTCCCAAGGAGCACCTGAGGCTCCACCAACAGGGACACTCTCGGCCCCACCAACAAAACAGGGACACACAGTCCCAAGGAGCACCTGAAGCTCCACCAACAGGGACATACACGGCCCCACCAACAAAACAAGGACACACAGTCCCAAGGAGCACTTGAAGCTCCACCAACAAAGAACCAAGGGGCAACCCACAACAGGAACACACCTGACCCCAACAACACAGCCAGAACGGCACCAGCCAAGCAGGGACACATTCCGCTCTACCTGACCTACCAACAATTAGGGACAAGGAATACATGCAACTCCAACCCTTTAACTGGACTAACAAACAGCAGCTCACTATCCATCATGAACAAAAGTAACCATAGTGAAAACACCATCGCGGGCTTGGCCACGTGACCCACACTCTTTCACAAGCAAGAAGAGCAAGCACCATGCGCGCATGGAAAAAATACTTCTCCACTGGCCGATGGGTCTGAATGCCAAACTTCCCATTGAGGTTGCTTAATTGCACGGCATGGCGCGCAAGCTCTCCCAAACTGCTTTGATCCAAGCTCCACTGCTGCATGATAGAAAGCGCTGGACGTGTTCACGATAAACACACCTGGCACTACTGTAGAGTTCCTAAGGTCGTGCTCAACTTCCTTGTCTTTTTCTAGGTCTGAATCTACATGTGCTTCAGATTCTGAAGAGGATGAAGATGACGAGTCCTCATCATCAGACACCTCAGTTTCTGCATCCGATGCAGGGTCCCAGTCGCTTGACCTGGCAGGTATCAAACCTGACCAGAATCTGCCTTCCAATGGCACTAGAGGTGCGGTTAAAGCCGTTTCTGCCACAGGATGCTGCGCACCGCGGCTCTGTGGCGCCAGAGGAACCCAACCACCACGAATAGCTTGCAACACACGCAACTGCGCACGAAGAGCGGGAAGAACATCATCACGCGAATATTTGGTTACCATCTTGCTGCCAGAATGAAAGATGGTGGCCCCACAATGCCGCTGGTGCACATCTACATCTAATTGCAACCCCCAAGATAGACCTGTTGTTTTCAAGCTGTGCAGCGTGTAGCTGCTGGCTTGAGCTGATACTAGAAGACGCCGAAACATACCAAGTGCATAAGCGAAATTTGCGCGAGCTCCTCGTGGACCTGCCAAAAGAAAATCGCATTCCTTCATAGCTTCGCACAAACGCCGGAGCCCGGCATCCCAAGTAGAGAAAATTCCAAAACACAGCAAGCCAAACGGCATGCCATCCTTTGCCGATTTGCAGCGATAACAGCGGCCACGAGCAATGCTATTTTCTATTTGCAAAGAATCACGTTCAACTTGCTGAAGATCAGAAAAACGAAGCGCCCCCCAAAACATCACTAAAAAGGCTACTAGGGCCATAGTTTCCTGAGTTGCACCAACGGCCAGGTCTTCGTGAATGCGCGCTTCAAAAGCTGCAATTACCGATAAAGGCAAAGGCAAAGCTTCTTTCCGTGCTTGACGGGACAAGATGAATCACACCAAACCGTCACAACAGGTTTGGAAAGCATGTCAACCCAGTTTTGCCAACCCATCAATGTAGCAACAAACTTCAAGGCGCACAAGGTGTTCTTGGACCTTTAGATTTGCCGTTGGTCACTCCCTGCAAAAAGGCCACCATGTCACCTTCTGGAGGCTCAAACACAGGCCATTCATGAAGTTGCGCAAAATCAACCCAAAGACGCCAGTTTGGCATGACGGCGTTGTAGCGTGTGCTTTTTTCCGCAACAACCGCTCCAAAGTACTAGCCGCGAATTCACCCAGATTCGTAAAGGCTGGAGCTAGTGGAAGCAAAGGGTTCAGCAATGTTGACAAGCTTGTCCATCTTGAAGTTCAACTTCGTCAGCATGTTTGAGCCTGTGCCAGACAAAATAACATGCAGGTACTGGATGAATTCGCCTTAAACCCAGCAGGCGCAGATGCATGCCAAGAGACTGCTGCAGAGAGCCAGCTTAGGCCAAAAGGCCCAGGAATCCCCAATAACACGGTGAAGCGGTGCCGGGCTTGGCATAATATGGGCCAAGGCCCGCACGCTTTTTTGCGCGATCTAGGGCGCAAGCAGCAAACATAAAAGAGAAAACAACAAACAGGCAAGCGGATTGGAAAGCACTACCTCTCAGGGAAATGAACAACTACTAGCCCAACCAGGCTGCCACTAGCTGCAAAGCATGAGCCAACTCATGAAGCAACAACAGGGTAAATCCCGACAAACCAACAAGGTATGCAAGGTGAAGTTAGAGAGAGTGGTGTTCATGTGTGCAAGCCCACATGAAAACAGCCCAAAATGCATCTCTTGAGTAGAGTTGGACGCTCATCTGAGCTGGGCGATCTTGCATGGAGTCTGCGGTCACTTTCCAAATTTGCTTGAGCTGCCCATGAAAGTATGGTTGTTTTTAAACCGTGAATGGAATAACTCGATGCATTGATGGGCAACTGCAATGGTTGAAGACTCCATGGTAATGTCATGTAATGCCGTACGTAATACAACCTTCTGCATATGTCATGGCCTCAAATGGAACAGGTGGAACATCATATTCCAAAAAGGATGGTAATGCAAAGTCAGTGTCATCCAAGTTTTGACCTGTGTAGAGCTCGTCCAACGTCTGCACCATGTCCACGTTCCACGTGATAAGAGACCTGCCAAAACCACCGAAAGGTGTTGCAGTATCAAATCTTTGTCTCCAGGTGAGCCCTCTTAAGGTCTGAGAGTCAAGTTGCCAATTGCGAGATTCGAACGTTGAATGTCGAATCTTCCAGACCAGCACAGCAATAAGAAACCACCCATATGATCACTTCTTTCAATGTGGACGAGGGATTCGAGTTCTGCATGTGGAGTTAGGGGAGACTTCTCTCCTGTCATGGTAATTTTTGCTTTTTGATCAATCTCGCTCCAAACGGTTGAAGGGATACCCCTAACTGTTTGGCGCCCATCTCCCGTTTTTTGAAAACATTTGCCTGAGCCTCGGACCCTGGAAGACACCGGATCAAAAGGTCTGCAAAAATTGCTCTGCAAGTCATCAATTGAGAGTGCTGGTTTAAAAATTGGATCAAACATGTCATATAGCGAACCAGGGTGGTTGCGGCAAACTGGTTAAGGAACCGTTCGGCATGTTCTGTTCCAAAAGCGCTTTTGCCCATCTGTTGCAAAACGTTGGAATACGGATGCATTAAGGCTGAAAAACGAAGCCATAGGTTCCAGACCACTGGGGATGCTGCCGCAATGCGCACTCTGGTCAAATTTGAGGCTTGCTGAGAATGCCTGATCCCTGGAAACGGTGCTGGAGTTTTACTACTTTGAACTGGCTTACTCAAACTTGAATGAGCTGGAATCCCTTGCAAACAATGGACTGGTGATCCAACATCAGGTTCGGATGCCAGCAAACTCTGAGGCACAGGCTGCGAAAATGCAGGAGCTGGTAATCCACTCCAATGCTCACATGACGCTTTCTGAAATGGATACTGCAATGATTCAATGTCTACTTCTCTATTGGTTGGACGAGGCAAACCTGGCGAATGCAACACCGAAGACACTTGGGTGTCGGCTCTGGTCGGTACGGATGCATCCAGACCAATGTCCATCACCTGAAATGGGGCACGAATTCGAGGTCTGGGGTGGTCCCGCAAATTAGGAGGCAATGGCAGTGATTTCGGAGTCGGTGCCAACAAGGTCCAACTGGAAGCACTTGAATCTACTTCAAATAAATCATGGGAATCGCTCGGAGTCATCTAGAGATGCAACTGACGGAGTGTCAACTTGTCGAAATGTTGTGCAATTTCTCCACATCAAAGATGAACAACACCCCAGCTGTGCAATGTCCACTGTAAATCCGGCTGAATCGTCTGTCAAATAGAGCAAGATATCAACCAGTAAATGTTTGTGCAAAGGGAATGCAAAGACCAAATAGAAAGCTTCTGAGGCCCCCTGAAATTGACGCGGCCGGATGTTCAAACGCTGGGAACCATTGCCCAGAGTTCGCGCCCGGGAATGCAAGAGTGCTTCCATGAAAAGTGCAAAAAAACCAAATAATTGAGTGCCCTATTATTTGTTTTTTTTTTGAAACGCGTTGTGGTTGTGCGAAACATGGTGCAACTGTCAAAGCAAAATTGTGAACACATGTATAAATTGAGAAAAAGCAAATCAAATTATTTCAAACCAAGCAAAGCAACGCCAAATGCAATGAATGTCCACTTGAGCCAAAATGAATCAGGGAATAAAATATTGATAACGATGTACAGAGCAAAAAGCGCAGTCAGCATATTCTTACTGTTTGGAGGAAGAATAGCAGTTCATAGCATCAGTCTTCAGCGAAGCTGACAAGGCCTATACCACGGCGCTTCCTCGTAAAGCCTCTTTCGACCTGCCAAGGCCGGTTAATGGGCCGTTTCATCAGGAACTTCATTTCCGGGCGCTCCTTGAGAAGCTCGAAGTAGAGTTTAGAAGCAAAACGCTACTTCCGGGATCTATGCCCGGGATTTCCGCGGCGCGCGCGCGCATCCTTGAGAAGCAACTTGTTTCCCATGGATTCTTTTGATGTGTCACTTTCATGCATACTCGGCTAACACAACGCTACAGGAGCAAGGTACTTGATTTCGTTTGTAAAATGCATTTGTGCACAGGCATCCAACAAGGAATGTCCAGGATCAAGTGGGCCCTCGATTAGTAGCCCTGCAAGATTGTTCCTGACATGCTGCATTCTGGCATCTCTCTCTGTTGGCGGCACTTTCTTAGTTGCAGCTGAGTCCGGAGCAATGACCTGTTCCTTCAAAGATGCCATCACGAGTGTATGCGATTCGAACAGCAACCTTTTCAGGGCAGCACTGTCACCTAATGTAATGGCAGGGTTCACATCTTGCCTGAGCCACGTGTTGAATGCATCATCAGAGATGTTCTGTCCAGGTTGCCCAAAACTGTAAGCAAGCAGGCTGAACCCGAATGCAGAGGTCAAACCCAAACGTGTAAGGTCCAAGAAATAACAAACTATCACAAGTGACAGTCTGCTGGACCAAAAGGGGCTGCGGTTTTCTTATTTCATAATCTATAAAATCACAAAAGGACCACCAGCAGCGCACTTAGTAAACTCTTCTTTTTGACCACGCAGGAATTGTTGGCGGATGGTCAAGTTTCGGATATCCTCACCAAAGTTTGCCATACACCAGGATTGTGCATGGATAGCCAAGTGTCGAAGCAACGCCAGGATTGGCATTGGCAGGCTTACAAGGGCAAGCTTAATTATATGTGACCCTGTGCGGTTGGTCACTTCGGACTAAGTAAAGGCTTATGGGGCCTATTAATGGAAAGGACTAAAAGCTGGGGATTCAGGCAGTAGAGACCCCCCCATCTTAACCCATTAGAAAACTTGCAAGCTTTGACATACAATCTTCTATGATGTCATCAACATCCACAAGCGGCACACCAGAACTCAAGAGGTCTCTAAAGTGTCTGCAGGGTTGGATGGCGATGGGACACGTGCAAACCAACAGAAACATGCTGACAAGTCTTCTACTCTCAGAAGTACTGCAACTAGAAATATACACATGCACTATTGATGATGTTTTTCCATAGAATGAAAGCAACAATCAATGCAAGAAGTTCCGCTTCAAAAATAATTGTTTTCTTGACAGCCGCCCCCAACAAGTCAATCTGGCTGGAAGTCAGACAAAACGAGAAAGCTTGAATGGCCGCACCACCGGCGTCATAAACGAGTCCACCAAGACCACATCTCCAATCACTGCAACCGGGCTCAAAACAAGCATCAGTGAAGATATAAAAGCAACTTGCAGAAACTCCACAAATTTTCCGGGGTGGCCCGTCAAGCAACTGAGATTGAAAAAGCAATAGTAATTGACGAAGCCGCGCACTAATCTTGGAACCGGTGAATGCAAACGCGTGGTCAGTGATCTCTTTCAAACAAAGTTTTCCCAACCTGCCAAATAATTGACCGTCAGCGAACTGTAGGCGCCCTCGCAACTTCAAGGCGTCAGCATGTGACAACATACCAGTTTCCACAATTGTTAAAACAAGCTCCTTCAAGTCTGCCTTCCGCCTATCGGTGTTAGAGAACTCAACTAACCCTCTATCAAAACCAGAAAGATCAATTTGGATGCCCAAAGCTCCAAAGGATGGTCCGAATGGTAATGCTTTGTCGCCATCCTGCGCAAAGTGCCACCCCAAAAGGTTAAACAGGAGCTCCACCGTGGCACCGGTGCGTTCAGCGTCATCCTCAAAACTGAGGGTGACAAAATCGTCATAAAAATTTGACCACATCACTGCCAAACATTTGCAAGCGATCCACCATATCAACCTAACTATTCGAAGGAAAGAATAAACTGATCTGGAACCACCGAACGGCACTGCAAGCATCTGAAATACTGCCGGTTGTCTGGCCTCAGGATCGAAGCATGCAATGTAAGAGCAACTCAAGGAGTTTGGGTGGATACCCAATTGCCTATACGCAGATTTGTCGAAGGTCTTTCCCAGCACCTTACTCTTGGAGGCTCCTAACAAAACGGCTAGCGCCATGGAAGCAACAACATCGGTTGAATGAGGACGAGGTGACTCGGGAGTCTGCACTGTGGAGTTTATGTTCGACTTGCTCAGATCATCGATCAATCGCACCTTGTTTGGCTGTTTGAGTCCGAATCTCCTGCTCAGCACGCAACCTTTTCCAAGCTCATTGAAGGGCACCGGCCCTCTTAACCAACCCGCGTCCCGTTCCTCCAGTGTCTTTTGAAAAACAACTGCATCAACCTCGGCATCCCCAGAAGACCTAACGGATCTAAAGATGGCTTTATTGGAAGACTCAGCTTGCTCTGCAAGTTCCTCTGTGGTGAGGAGTGCTGGTTTAAAAATTGGATCAAAAACACCCGTGTGGGGAACGCAGCCAGTAAGCTCTGTGCCAAAAGCTAGTTCTTCGAAAACACCCTTATCAGGGTAGCCCTCAGTTTCGATAATTTCTTTTAGCAGCAGTAGCCTTTTAGGCTGCAACTCAGAGTGAACGGTTCCCTACCCTACCCACCACTTAAATTGAAATTGCCACACATCAAATAAACATGGTTTGGTTTCAAACGATCACAGATGACATGTCCAAGTCTGCATCACTGACATGTGCAAAACATACCACCAAATTTATATCAGCATGATATAAATATACATATATAAAGTACATACATGCATCAGATGTGTCTGTGCATCTCATAACTTCAGATTCCATCATATAACCATTAAATACAGATATGTCGCATGACAGATGTTCGGTTGGTTGGTTTGCATGGCATGTGGTGCAACATACGCAGCACATTCACGCAAGGCATATTGCACGGGCCACGCATGTCAATACCTCCTCATCAAGGACTTCCGCTTTAAGTGAGTTTGTCCAAGGGAAACACATTGTTTCAATCACCTTTCCCATAAAGCGCTACTGGCAAGCCAGCTGCTACATTATGGCAACGGTGACCTTGGTCTCGAACCCACATAGCAGGGAGACCAACATACAAACACATATCAATGCCGCGGGAGGCAAAGTGCGGTGACGAATCATGCACACATGTACTAACTATATGCACATGTAAAACAAACGTATTCACATACATATGCGTATCGGCTCGCACGTCCAAATCCTTCGCATTCGCTCGTGTCTTCAAATAATTTATTTGCTCTTTTTTTTCTGAAACACATGACATCAACTGCAACAAACTGAAAACATCGACATGTGAAATGCAGTCACTCGGTCAAGCACTTGTTTTCTGCGTCTGCGTGAACGAGGGGAAGTTTCAATCCGAAATGATGCTGCATTGCATCCATTTGTATCTTTGCATGTCATTGCATCTTTCTGACATCTTGTATTGCATTTCAAAGATTGTGTCAACAGCTGCATAGCCGTTCTTCCCCTTTTAGCTTCAGCATATGGAAACAAGCGCTACGCCCGTCATCGGGCACACCGGACTGCAAATGTTCAAACTTCCTAAGCATTCAAGCTCCTTCAGAGACCCTCTACTTGGAAAATCTGCCGGGTTCGATGACGAGGCAACTCGCGTCACCCACATGTTTGCAAAAAGAGAATCATCAATCTCTTCAAGTGTCAAGAGGAGTTTTCGCCAGGTGTTGATGTTGGCGGATCCCTTTACCAAGCAGTCTTGAGCTCCGTAGTTGTCTATGAACAGCAGAACTCGCTGTTCCGAGATGATATGTTTCCATTCCTTCAAGGCTGTTACGCAGGCATACAATTCCACAAGACCTATGACGTGCTCACGCCCGTCCACCTTCCAAAGCATGACAGTCTCATGAGGAACTTCAACTCCAAAACATCTGACTTCACCTGTAGGGGAGATGAGCACTGCACCAATCGTGGCTGACGATTGTTGGTTACTGTCGTACTCAAGAGCTCCGTCAGTAAAAAGGAGCCATGGTTTCCCAACCGGTTTGGCTGTAAGTTTCCTGGGCTTTCCCGAGGCGACCCTCGATCTGAGAATATGAAGAGCGCTGATCTGGCTGTCATTCAAGTCTATCATGGAACCTTCTGATGTCCCCATCTGTCTCAAGTCAGCCATAGCGAGTCGTCCCGCTCTGCCAGCTATCTGCATCTCCGCGAACTGGAGTCTTCCCAAATGAGATTGAAGGTCCCTTGGTCGGAGTCGACCTTCTGAAACAATCTTGTCTAGCGCATCACCGATCTCTTCAATCCTGTCACGTCTGTTGCATATGGCTATGCATCCAGTCTTGCTCTCCGTCAGGTCAAGTTCCACACCAAGCATCTCACTCTTGAGGCCTGGTTCTTTGAGCTTTTCTGAAGAATATTCAAATCCCAACAAACCAAGCAACGTTTTTGCTGCTCCCAGCGAAGACCTCTCTAAACCTTCCGGACAAAGCACTGGATAATCGTCAAAGTATGACGACCAAATGATGTTCAAGTGACATCCCAAGGCCCACAGCAAAGTGCTTATCCTGTTGAAATGGAGCACCGAGGCACTGGCTCCAAACGGGAGTGTACACATCGTGAAGTGTTTGGCTTTCTTACAAGCCGGGTCCCTAAGTGTCACAACAGCTTTCGACACGTCAGCCTCATGCAGCGGCAACTGCTTGTACGCACTCCCCAAATCCAGCGTAGTGGCAGCAATAGAGCATCCCCCAATCCAATCAGCATGTACCTTCCCATGCAAGCGTTCACCGCTCCTCAACACAAAATCCATCTCATGATTGTGCAGGGAATGTTTGCAGATTACCAATGCAGCCCACGCTATATGGTCCATAGTCTTCAGAGATATCTTGTCGACTGAGCTGAACGCCTGATTAAGGCGGTTCTCACAGAAATCGTCAATGGGGCGCAGCTTCCCTTTTTGTTCGACACAGAATCGTCGCACAGGCAACCATGTATCGCCCAAAAGTTTACAGACATCGTCAAATTCCATGGGGCCATGTAGCCACTCCTTTTCTGCTGCCTCATTCACAGTGATGTCGTACAACTCTGCTTCATGTTGGCTGGAGGCTGCGTTGTTAGCCTTACCAATGATGGCCGGCCTCAAGAACTTGCTCTGTGCCATGAGCTCATCTTCGCTGATGTGCCCTGGCTTAGGCTGCACTCGAAAAACTCCTGTAGCTGGAGCCTCGCCCACAAGCCTAAATCCATCGGCCAACTCTCGGCAGAGATTTTTGTCAGGCCAATCCAAGACTTCATACGCAAGTTTGTTGAGCAGACACAATCTTTTGCCTTCCATCACTTTCTTGACGTGCTTTGGCATGCCTTCTTTCAAATCTCTTTCATCGTTTGCTAGCTCGTCAGCCCATCGCCTCCACAACTGTAGAGTTTCAAGTCTTTGCCTGGCAGTGTCAACTTTGCTGTTGTGCAAAACATTGTAAATGGCTCTTGTCAAGAAATCCGGAAGGTGGCGAAGTTCATCGAATGGGTGCCACAAGGATTTGGCCACCTTGACAAATTTCACATGTCCATGAAAAATTCCAAAAACATATATTGTAAATTGCTTGTCGCCTTGTCCTCCTTTCGCTTCAGAACGTAGGAGCTTGCTGCCAATGGGTATGTTGGGAAGTGGTTGCAAAAGTTTGTTCTTCCCATCCAGTTTAGGAATTGTTGGCAACAACATTGAGACAACTTTGTCATATTCGGGCACCAACGGTGGGACTGACCTTCCCGCATGTTGCTTGTGCGGGTGCAGCTTCTCGGATGCCTTGGGGAATGGTGTTACTGTGATG